TTGATTGTTGACCATAACATGTCAGATGAGGATTGGTCTGACCAAGTCACCATTGACATGTCATCCACACAACCACTACAAAACAGAAATCATGACAACACCAATATAATGCATAGGTCTCACACAGTCACAATCTAGCACCAAATACTGCACACTACACACTCCAGCCTAATCCACTCTATGATCTCTTTCACTTTCAGGTGTCAAGTGAACAACCAGCATCGACGAGTGAACGTCAGACCGGAGACAATGAGACCAGAGACACTTCAGGAGACTCTGACTCCATCAGTCACATGGGTGTTGGTGTTGGTGTCGGTGCCAGTGAGGAGAATCTTCTCGACACACAGGTAATCTCGTTCACACACTTGTTTCCTTCATTGACGTGTTGTGGAATGTTGATGAGATCGGTGACTAGTCGTATGTGTAGGCATTCCACTGCATATCGGACAATGGACAATGTGCCTGTGTGCGTGTTGTTGTGTGTTTGTCAATCTGTCTGAGGTGTAGTGACCAACACTAGTGGATAACGCATGGACGACGAGGCATGGAAGTCACGAGGTGTTCTCCAATGCATGCAATGTGTGCTCACCGAGTCATATGCATGTGGAGATCCACAGTCAGTATATGTGAGTGACTTGATGGAGATGTGACTGGGATTGAGACCGAGGTTGTCGACAGCAAATATGTGTGCTGACTGAATGGTGCATTGTGACTGCAGACAACTTGGATCAGCTCACTGATTGACACGTTGTGTGAATGTGTGATATGAGATGCTGTGAAAATCTGTCACGTGACAATGAACACACCACAAACTGTCATTGTATGTGTTTTCAGTGGATCCAGTGAGTAGAGGTGGGATGTGGTTGGGTGATTGTTGACCATAACATGTCAGATGAGGATTGGTCTGACCAAGTCACCATTGACACGTCATCCACACAACCACTACAAAACAGAAATCATGACAACACCAATATAATGCATAGGTCTCACACAGTCACAATCTAGCACCAAATACTGCACACTACACACTCCAGCCTAATCCACTCTATGATCTCTTTCACTTTCAGGTGTCAAGTGAACAACCAGCATCGACGAGTGAACGTCAGACCGGAGACAATGAGACCAGAGACACTTCAGGAGACTCTGACTCCATCAGTCACATGGGTGTTGGTGTTGGTGTCGGTGCCAGTGAGGAGAATCTTCTCGACACACAGGTAATCTCGTTCACACACTTGTTTCCTTCATTGACGTGTTGTGGAATGTTGATGAGATCGGTGACTAGTCGTATGTGTAGGCATTCCACTGCATATCGGACAATGGACAATGTGCCTGTGTGCGTGTTGTTGTGTGTTTGTCAATCTGTCTGAGGTGTAGTGACCAACACTAGTGGATAACGCATGGACGACGAGGCATGGAAGTCACGAGGTGTTCTCCAATGCATGCAATGTGTGCTCACCGAGTCATATGCATGTGGAGATCCACAGTCAGTATATGTGAGTGACTTGATGGAGATGTGACTGGGATTGAGACCGAGGTTGTCGACAGCAAATATGTGTGCTGACTGAATGGTGCATTGTGACTGCAGACAACTTGGATCAGCTCACTGATTGACACGTTGTGTGAATGTGTGATATGAGATGCTGTGAAAATCTGTCACGTGACAATGAACACACCACAAACTGTCATTGTATGTGTTTTCAGTGGATCCAGTGAGTAGAGGTGGGATGTGGTTGGGTGATTGTTGACCATAACATGTCAGATGAGGACTGGTCTGACCAAGTCACCATTGACACGTCATCCACACAACCACTACAAAACAGAAATCATGACAACACCAATATAATGCATAGGTCTCACACAGTCACAATCTAGCACCAAATACTGCACACTACACACTCCAGCCTAATCCACTCTATGATCTCTTTCATTTTCAGGTGTCAAGTGAACAACCAGCATCGACGAGTGAACGTCAGACCGGAGACAATGAGACCAGAGACACTTCAGGAGACTCTGACTCCATCAGTCACATGGGTGTTGGTGTTGGTGTCGGTGCCAGTGAGGAGAATCTTCTCGACACACAGGTAATCTCGTTCACACACTTGTTTCCTTCATTGACGTGTTGTGGAATGTTGATGAGATCGGTGACTAGTCGTATGTGTAGGCATTCCACTGCATATCGGACAATGGACAATGTGCCTGTGTGCGTGTTGTTGTGTGTTTGTCAATCTGTCTGAGGTGTAGTGACCAACACTAGTGGATAACGCATGGACGACGAGGCATGGAAGTCACGAGGTGTTCTCCAATGCATGCAATGTGTGCTCACCGAGTCATATGCATGTGGAGATCCACAGTCAGTATATGTGAGTGACTTGATGGAGATGTGACTGGGATTGAGACCGAGGTTGTCGACAGCAAATATGTGTGCTGACTGAATGGTGCATTGTGACTGCAGACAACTTGGATCAGCTCACTGATTGACACGTTGTGTGAATGTGTGATATGAGATGCTGTGAAAATCTGTCACGTGACAATGAACACACCACAAACTGTCATTGTATGTGTTTTCAGTGGATCCAGTGAGTAGAGGTGGGATGTGGTTGGGTGATTGTTGACCATAACATGTCAGATGAGGATTGGTCTGACCAAGTCACCATTGACACGTCATCCACACAACCACTACAAAACAGAAATCATGACAACACCAATATAATGCATAGGTCTCACACAGTCACAATCTAGCACCAAATACTGCACACTACACACTCCAGCCTAATCCACTCTATGATCTCTTTCACTTTCAGGTGTCAAGTGAACAACCAGCATCGACGAGTGAACGTCAGACCGGAGACAATGAGACCAGAGACACTTCAGGAGACTCTGACTCCATCAGTCACATGGGTGTTGGTGTTGGTGTCGGTGCCAGTGAGGAGAATCTTCTCGACACACAGGTAATCTCGTTCACACACTTGTTTCCTTCATTGACGTGTTGTGGAATGTTGATGAGATCGGTGACTAGTCGTATGTGTAGGCATTCCACTGCATATCGGACAATGGACAATGTGCCTGTGTGCGTGTTGTTGTGTGTTTGTCAATCTGTCTGAGGTGTAGTGACCAACACTAGTGGATAACGCATGGACGACGAGGCATGGAAGTCACGAGGTGTTCTCCAATGCATGCAATGTGTGCTCACCGAGTCATATGCATGTGGAGATCCACAGTCAGTATATGTGAGTGACTTGATGCAGATGTGACTGGGATTGAGACCGAGGTTGTCGACAGCAAATATGTGTGCTGACTGAATGGTGCATTGTGACTGCAGACAACTTGGATCAGCTCACTGATTGACACGTTGTGTGAATGTGTGATATGAGATGCTGTGAAAATCTGTCACGTGACAATGAACACACCACAAACTGTCATTGTATGTGTTTTCAGTGGATCCAGTGAGTAGAGGTGGGATGTGGTTGGGTGATTGTTGACCATAACATGTCAGATGAGGATTGGTCTGACCAAGTCACCATTGACACGTCATCCACACAACCACTACAAAACAGAAATCATGACAACACCAATATAATGCATAGGTCTCACACAGTCACAATCTAGCACCAAATACTGCACACTACACACTCCAGCCTAATCCACTCTATGATCTCTTTCACTTTCAGGTGTCAAGTGAACAACCAGCATCGACGAGTGAACGTCAGACCGGAGACAATGAGACCAGAGACACTTCAGGAGACTCTGACTCCATCAGTCACATGGGTGTTGGTGTTGGTGTCGGTGCCAGTGAGGAGAATCTTCTCGACACACAGGTAATCTCGTTCACACACTTGTTTCCTTCATTGACGTGTTGTGGAATGTTGATGAGATCGGTGACTAGTCGTATGTGTAGGCATTCCACTGCATATCGGACAATGGACAATGTGCCTGTGTGCGTGTTGTTGTGTGTTTGTCAATCTGTCTGAGGTGTAGTGACCAACACTAGTGGATAACGCATGGACGACGAGGCATGGAAGTCACGAGGTGTTCTCCAATGCATGCAATGTGTGCTCACCGAGTCATATGCATGTGGAGATCCACAGTCAGTATATGTGAGTGACTTGATGGAGATGTGACTGGGATTGAGACCGAGGTTGTCGACAGCAAATATGTGTGCTGACTGAATGGTGCATTGTGACTGCAGACAACTTGGATCAGCTCACTGATTGACACGTTGTGTGAATGTGTGATATGAGATGCTGTGAAAATCTGTCACGTGACAATGAACACACCACAAACTGTCATTGTATGTGTTTTCAGTGGATCCAGTGAGTAGAGGTGGGATGTGGTTGGGTGATTGTTGACCATAACATGTCAGATGAGGATTGGTCTGACCAAGTCACCATTGACACGTCATCCACACAACCACTACAAAACAGAAATCATGACAACACCAATATAATGCATAGGTCTCACACAGTCACAATCTAGCACCAAATACTGCACACTACACACTCCAGCCTAATCCACTCTATGATCTCTTTCACTTTCAGGTGTCAAGTGAACAACCAGCATCGACGAGTGAACGTCAGACCGGAGACAATGAGACCAGAGACACTTCAGGAGACTCTGACTCCATCAGTCACATGGGTGTTGGTGTTGGTGTCGGTGCCAGTGAGGAGAATCTTCTCGACACACAGGTAATCTCGTTCACACACTTGTTTCCTTCATTGACGTGTTGTGGAATGTTGATGAGATCGGTGACTAGTCGTATGTGTAGGCATTCCACTGCATATCGGACAATGGACAATGTGCCTGTGTGCGTGTTGTTGTGTGTTTGTCAATCTGTCTGAGGTGTAGTGACCAACACTAGTGGATAACGCATGGACGACGAGGCATGGAAGTCACGAGGTGTTCTCCAATGCATGCAATGTGTGCTCACCGAGTCATATGCATGTGGAGATCCACAGTCAGTATATGTGAGTGACTTGATGCAGATGTGACTGGGATTGAGACCGAGGTTGTCGACAGCAAATATGTGTGCTGACTGAATGGTGCATTGTGACTGCAGACAACTTGGATCAGCTCACTGATTGACACGTTGTGTGAATGTGTGATATGAGATGCTGTGAAAATCTGTCACGTGACAATGAACACACCACAAACTGTCATTGTATGTGTTTTCAGTGGATCCAGTGAGTAGAGGTGGGATGTGGTTGGGTGATTGTTGACCATAACATGTCAGATGAGGATTGGTCTGACCAAGTCACCATTGACACGTCATCCACACAACCACTACAAAACAGAAATCATGACAACACCAATATAATGCATAGGTCTCACACAGTCACAATCTAGCACCAAATACTGCACACTACACACTCCAGCCTAATCCACTCTATGATCTCTTTCACTTTCAGGTGTCAAGTGAACAACCAGCATCGACGAGTGAACGTCAGACCGGAGACAATGAGACCAGAGACACTTCAGGAGACTCTGACTCCATCAGTCACATGGGTGTTGGTGTTGGTGTCGGTGCCAGTGAGGAGAATCTTCTCGACACACAGGTAATCTCGTTCACACACTTGTTTCCTTCATTGACGTGTTGTGGAATGTTGATGAGATCGGTGACTAGTCGTATGTGTAGGCATTCCACTGCATATCGGACAATGGACAATGTGCCTGTGTGCGTGTTGTTGTGTGTTTGTCAATCTGTCTGAGGTGTAGTGACCAACACTAGTGGATAACGCATGGACGACGAGGCATGGAAGTCACGAGGTGTTCTCCAATGCATGCAATGTGTGCTCACCGAGTCATATGCATGTGGAGATCCACAGTCAGTATATGTGAGTGACTTGATGGAGATGTGACTGGGATTGAGACCGAGGTTGTCGACAGCAAATATGTGTGCTGACTGAATGGTGCATTGTGACTGCAGACAACTTGGATCAGCTCACTGATTGACACGTTGTGTGAATGTGTGATATGAGATGCTGTGAAAATCTGTCACGTGACAATGAACACACCACAAACTGTCATTGTATGTGTTTTCAGTGGATCCAGTGAGTAGAGGTGGGATGTGGTTGGGTGATTGTTGACCATAACATGTCAGATGAGGATTGGTCTGACCAAGTCACCATTGACACGTCATCCACACAACCACTACAAAACAGAAATCATGACAACACCAATATAATGCATAGGTCTCACACAGTCACAATCTAGCACCAAATACTGCACACTACACACTCCAGCCTAATCCACTCTATGATCTCTTTCACTTTCAGGTGTCAAGTGAACAACCAGCATCGACGAGTGAACGTCAGACCGGAGACAATGAGACCAGAGACACTTCAGGAGACTCTGACTCCATCAGTCACATGGGTGTTGGTGTTGGTGTCGGTGCCAGTGAGGAGAATCTTCTCGACACACAGGTAATCTCGTTCACACACTTGTTTCCTTCATTGACGTGTTGTGGAATGTTGATGAGATCGGTGACTAGTCGTATGTGTAGGCATTCCACTGCATATCGGACAATGGACAATGTGCCTGTGTGCGTGTTGTTGTGTGTTTGTCAATCTGTCTGAGGTGTAGTGACCAACACTAGTGGATAACGCATGGACGACGAGGCATGGAAGTCACGAGGTGTTCTCCAATGCATGCAATGTGTGCTCACCGAGTCATATGCATGTGGAGATCCACAGTCAGTATATGTGAGTGACTTGATGGAGATGTGACTGGGATTGAGACCGAGGTTGTCGACAGCAAATATGTGTGCTGACTGAATGGTGCATTGTGACTGCAGACAACTTGGATCAGCTCACTGATTGACACGTTGTGTGAATGTGTGATATGAGATGCTGTGAAAATCTGTCACGTGACAATGAACACACCACAAACTGTCATTGTATGTGTTTTCAGTGGATCCAGTGAGTAGAGGTGGGATGTGGTTGGGTGATTGTTGACCATAACATGTCAGATGAGGATTGGTCTGACCAAGTCACCATTGACACGTCATCCACACAACCACTACAAAACAGAAATCATGACAACACCAATATAATGCATAGGTCTCACACAGTCACAATCTAGCACCAAATACTGCACACTACACACTCCAGCCTAATCCACTCTATGATCTCTTTCACTTTCAGGTGTCAAGTGAACAACCAGCATCGACGAGTGAACGTCAGACCGGAGACAATGAGACCAGAGACACTTCAGGAGACTCTGACTCCATCAGTCACATGGGTGTTGGTGTTGGTGTCGGTGCCAGTGAGGAGAATCTTCTCGACACACAGGTAATCTCGTTCACACACTTGTTTCCTTCATTGACGTGTTGTGGAATGTTGATGAGATCGGTGACTAGTCGTATGTGTAGGCATTCCACTGCATATCGGACAATGGACAATGTGCCTGTGTGCGTGTTGTTGTGTGTTTGTCAATCTGTCTGAGGTGTAGTGACCAACACTAGTGGATAACGCATGGACGACGAGGCATGGAAGTCACGAGGTGTTCTCCAATGCATGCAATGTGTGCTCACCGAGTCATATGCATGTGGAGATCCACAGTCAGTATATGTGAGTGACTTGATGCAGATGTGACTGGGATTGAGACCGAGGTTGTCGACAGCAAATATGTGTGCTGACTGAATGGTGCATTGTGACTGCAGACAACTTGGATCAGCTCACTGATTGACACGTTGTGTGAATGTGTGATATGAGATGCTGTGAAAATCTGTCACGTGACAATGAACACACCACAAACTGTCATTGTATGTGTTTTCAGTGGATCCAGTGAGTAGAGGTGGGATGTGGTTGGGTGATTGTTGACCATAACATGTCAGATGAGGATTGGTCTGACCAAGTCACCATTGACACGTCATCCACACAACCACTACAAAACAGAAATCATGACAACACCAATATAATGCATAGGTCTCACACAGTCACAATCTAGCACCAAATACTGCACACTACACACTCCAGCCTAATCCACTCTATGATCTCTTTCACTTTCAGGTGTCAAGTGAACAACCAGCATCGACGAGTGAACGTCAGACCGGAGACAATGAGACCAGAGACACTTCAGGAGACTCTGACTCCATCAGTCACATGGGTGTTGGTGTTGGTGTCGGTGCCAGTGAGGAGAATCTTCTCGACACACAGGTAATCTCGTTCACACACTTGTTTCCTTCATTGACGTGTTGTGGAATGTTGATGAGATCGGTGACTAGTCGTATGTGTAGGCATTCCACTGCATATCGGACAATGGACAATGTGCCTGTGTGCGTGTTGTTGTGTGTTTGTCAATCTGTCTGAGGTGTAGTGACCAACACTAGTGGATAACGCATGGACGACGAGGCATGGAAGTCACGAGGTGTTCTCCAATGCATGCAATGTGTGCTCACCGAGTCATATGCATGTGGAGATCCACAGTCAGTATATGTGAGTGACTTGATGGAGATGTGACTGGGATTGAGACCGAGGTTGTCGACAGCAAATATGTGTGCTGACTGAATGGTGCATTGTGACTGCAGACAACTTGGATCAGCTCACTGATTGACACGTTGTGTGAATGTGTGATATGAGATGCTGTGAAAATCTGTCACGTGACAATGAACACACCACAAACTGTCATTGTATGTGTTTTCAGTGGATCCAGTGAGTAGAGGTGGGATGTGGTTGGGTGATTGTTGACCATAACATGTCAGATGAGGATTGGTCTGACCAAGTCACCATTGACACGTCATCCACACAACCACTACAAAACAGAAATCATGACAACACCAATATAATGCATAGGTCTCACACAGTCACAATCTAGCACCAAATACTGCACACTACACACTCCAGCCTAATCCACTCTATGATCTCTTTCATTTTCAGGTGTCAAGTGAACAACCAGCATCGACGAGTGAACGTCAGACCGGAGACAATGAGACCAGAGACACTTCAGGAGACTCTGACTCCATCAGTCACATGGGTGTTGGTGTTGGTGTCGGTGCCAGTGAGGAGAATCTTCTCGACACACAGGTAATCTCGTTCACACACTTGTTTCCTTCATTGACGTGTTGTGGAATGTTGATGAGATCGGTGACTAGTCGTATGTGTAGGCATTCCACTGCATATCGGACAATGGACAATGTGCCTGTGTGCGTGTTGTTGTGTGTTTGTCAATCTGTCTGAGGTGTAGTGACCAACACTAGTGGATAACGCATGGACGACGAGGCATGGAAGTCACGAGGTGTTCTCCAATGCATGCAATGTGTGCTCACCGAGTCATATGCATGTGGAGATCCACAGTCAGTATATGTGAGTGACTTGATGCAGATGTGACTGGGATTGAGACCGAGGTTGTCGACAGCAAATATGTGTGCTGACTGAATGGTGCATTGTGACTGCAGACAACTTGGATCAGCTCACTGATTGACACGTTGTGTGAATGTGTGATATGAGATGCTGTGAAAATCTGTCACGTGACAATCAACACACCACAAACTGTCATTGTATGTGTTTTCAGTGGATCCAGTGAGTAGAGGTGGGATGTGGTTGGGTGATTGTTGACCATAACATGTCAGATGAGGATTGGTCTGACCAAGTCACCATTGACACGTCATCCACACAACCACTACAAAACAGAAATCATGACAACACCAATATAATGCATAGGTCTCACACAGTCACAATCTAGCACCAAATACTGCACACTACACACTCCAGCCTAATCCACTCTATGATCTCTTTCACTTTCAGGTGTCAAGTGAACAACCAGCATCGACGAGTGAACGTCAGACCGGAGACAATGAGACCAGAGACACTTCAGGAGACTCTGACTCCATCAGTCACATGGGTGTTGGTGTTGGTGTCGGTGCCAGTGAGGAGAATCTTCTCGACACACAGGTAATCTCGTTCACACACTTGTTTCCTTCATTGACGTGTTGTGGAATGTTGATGAGATCGGTGACTAGTCGTATGTGTAGGCATTCCACTGCATATCGGACAATGGACAATGTGCCTGTGTGCGTGTTGTTGTGTGTTTGTCAATCTGTCTGAGGTGTAGTGACCAACACTAGTGGATAACGCATGGACGACGAGGCATGGAAGTCACGAGGTGTTCTCCAATGCATGCAATGTGTGCTCACCGAGTCATATGCATGTGGAGATCCACAGTCAGTATATGTGAGTGACTTGATGGAGATGTGACTGGGATTGAGACCGAGGTTGTCGACAGCAAATATGTGTGCTGACTGAATGGTGCATTGTGACTGCAGACAACTTGGATCAGCTCACTGATTGACACGTTGTGTGAATGTGTGATATGAGATGCTGTGAAAATCTGTCACGTGACAATGAACACACCACAAACTGTCATTGTATGTGTTTTCAGTGGATCCAGTGAGTAGAGGTGGGATGTGGTTGGGTGATTGTTGACCATAACATGTCAGATGAGGATTGGTCTGACCAAGTCACCATTGACACGTCATCCACACAACCACTACAAAACAGAAATCATGACAACACCAATATAATGCATAGGTCTCACACAGTCACAATCTAGCACCAAATACTGCACACTACACACTCCAGCCTAATCCACTCTATGATCTCTTTCACTTTCAGGTGTCAAGTGAACAACCAGCATCGACGAGTGAACGTCAGACCGGAGACAATGAGACCAGAGACACTTCAGGAGACTCTGACTCCATCAGTCACATGGGTGTTGGTGTTGGTGTCGGTGCCAGTGAGGAGAATCTTCTCGACACACAGGTAATCTCGTTCACACACTTGTTTCCTTCATTGACGTGTTGTGGAATGTTGATGAGATCGGTGACTAGTCGTATGTGTAGGCATTCCACTGCATATCGGACAATGGACAATGTGCCTGTGTGCGTGTTGTTGTGTGTTTGTCAATCTGTCTGAGGTGTAGTGACCAACACTAGTGGATAACGCATGGACGACGAGGCATGGAAGTCACGAGGTGTTCTCCAATGCATGCAATGTGTGCTCACCGAGTCATATGCATGTGGAGATCCACAGTCAGTATATGTGAGTGACTTGATGGAGATGTGACTGGGATTGAGACCGAGGTTGTCGACAGCAAATATGTGTGCTGACTGAATGGTGCATTGTGACTGCAGACAACTTGGATCAGCTCACTGATTGACACGTTGTGTGAATGTGTGATATGAGATGCTGTGAAAATCTGTCACGTGACAATCAACACACCACAAACTGTCATTGTATGTGTTTTCAGTGGATCCAGTGAGTAGAGGTGGGATGTGGTTGGGTGATTGTTGACCATAACATGTCAGATGAGGATTGGTCTGACCAAGTCACCATTGACACGTCATCCACACAACCACTACAAAACAGAAATCATGACAACACCAATATAATGCATAGGTCTCACACAGTCACAATCTAGCACCAAATACTGCACACTACACACTCCAGCCTAATCCACTCTATGATCTCTTTCACTTTCAGGTGTCAAGTGAACAACCAGCATCGACGAGTGAACGTCAGACCGGAGACAATGAGACCAGAGACACTTCAGGAGACTCTGACTCCATCAGTCACATGGGTGTTGGTGTTGGTGTCGGTGCCAGTGAGGAGAATCTTCTCGACACACAGGTAATCTCGTTCACACACTTGTTTCCTTCATTGACGTGTTGTGGAATGTTGATGAGATCGGTGACTAGTCGTATGTGTAGGCATTCCACTGCATATCGGACAATGGACAATGTGCCTGTGTGCGTGTTGTTGTGTGTTTGTCAATCTGTCTGAGGTGTAGTGACCAACACTAGTGGATAACGCATGGACGACGAGGCATGGAAGTCACGAGGTGTTCTCCAATGCATGCAATGTGTGCTCACCGAGTCATATGCATGTGGAGATCCACAGTCAGTATATGTGAGTGACTTGATGCAGATGTGACTGGGATTGAGACCGAGGTTGTCGACAGCAAATATGTGTGCTGACTGAATGGTGCATTGTGACTGCAGACAACTTGGATCAGCTCACTGATTGACACGTTGTGTGAATGTGTGATATGAGATGCTGTGAAAATCTGTCACGTGACAATGAACACACCACAAACTGTCATTGTATGTGTTTTCAGTGGATCCAGTGAGTAGAGGTGGGATGTGGTTGGGTGATTGTTGACCATAACATGTCAGATGAGGATTGGTCTGACCAAGTCACCATTGACACGTCATCCACACAACCACTACAAAACAGAAATCATGACAACACCAATATAATGCATAGGTCTCACACAGTCACAATCTAGCACCAAATACTGCACACTACACACTCCAGCCTAATCCACTCTATGATCTCTTTCACTTTCAGGTGTCAAGTGAACAACCAGCATCGACGAGTGAACGTCAGACCGGAGACAATGAGACCAGAGACACTTCAGGAGACTCTGACTCCATCAGTCACATGGGTGTTGGTGTTGGTGTCGGTGCCAGTGAGGAGAATCTTCTCGACACACAGGTAATCTCGTTCACACACTTGTTTCCTTCATTGACGTGTTGTGGAATGTTGATGAGATCGGTGACTAGTCGTATGTGTAGGCATTCCACTGCATATCGGACAATGGACAATGTGCCTGTGTGCGTGTTGTTGTGTGTTTGTCAATCTGTCTGAGGTGTAGTGACCAACACTAGTGGATAACGCATGGACGACGAGGCATGGAAGTCACGAGGTGTTCTCCAATGCATGCAATGTGTGCTCACCGAGTCATATGCATGTGGAGATCCACAGTCAGTATATGTGAGTGACTTGATGGAGATGTGACTGGGATTGAGACCGAGGTTGTCGACAGCAAATATGTGTGCTGACTGAATGGTGCATTGTGACTGCAGACAACTTGGATCAGCTCACTGATTGACACGTTGTGTGAATGTGTGATATGAGATGCTGTGAAAATCTGTCACGTGACAATCAACACACCACAAACTGTCATTGTATGTGTTTTCAGTGGATCCAGTGAGTAGAGGTGGGATGTGGTTGGGTGATTGTTGACCATAACATGTCAGATGAGGATTGGTCTGACCAAGTCACCATTGACACGTCATCCACACAACCACTACAAAACAGAAATCATGACAACACCAATATAATGCATAGGTCTCACACAGTCACAATCTAGCACCAAATACTGCACACTACACACTCCAGCCTAATCCACTCTATGATCTCTTTCACTTTCAGGTGTCAAGTGAACAACCAGCATCGACGAGTGAACGTCAGACCGGAGACAATGAGACCAGAGACACTTCAGGAGACTCTGACTCCATCAGTCACATGGGTGTTGGTGTTGGTGTCGGTGCCAGTGAGGAGAATCTTCTCGACACACAGGTAATCTCGTTCACACACTTGTTTCCTTCATTGACGTGTTGTGGAATGTTGATGAGATCGGTGACTAGTCGTATGTGTAGGCATTCCACTGCATATCGGACAATGGACAATGTGCCTGTGTGCGTGTTGTTGTGTGTTTGTCAATCTGTCTGAGGTGTAGTGACCAACACTAGTGGATAACGCATGGACGACGAGGCATGGAAGTCACGAGGTGTTCTCCAATGCATGCAATGTGTGCTCACCGAGTCATATGCATGTGGAGATCCACAGTCAGTATATGTGAGTGACTTGATGGAGATGTGACTGGGATTGAGACCGAGGTTGTCGACAGCAAATATGTGTGCTGACTGAATGGTGCATTGTGACTGCAGACAACTTGGATCAGCTCACTGATTGACACGTTGTGTGAATGTGTGATATGAGATGCTGTGAAAATCTGTCACGTGACAATGAACACACCACAAACTGTCATTGTATGTGTTTTCAGTGGATCCAGTGAGTAGAGGTGGGATGTGGTTGGGTGATTGTTGACCATAACATGTCAGATGAGGATTGGTCTGACCAAGTCACCATTGACACGTCATCCACACAACCACTACAAAACAGAAATCATGACAACACCAATATAATGCATAGGTCTCACACAGTCACAATCTAGCACCAAATACTGCACACTACACACTCCAGCCTAATCCACTCTATGATCTCTTTCATTTTCAGGTGTCAAGTGAACAACCAGCATCGACGAGTGAATGTCAGACCGGAGACAATGAGACCAGAGACACTTCAGGAGACTCTGACTCCATCAGTCACATGGGTGTTGGTGTTGGTGTCGGTGCCAGTGAGGAGAATCTTCTCGACACACAGGTAATCTCGTTCACACACTTGTTTCCTTCATTGACGTGTTGTGGAATGTTGATGAGATCGGTGACTAGTCGTATGTGTAGGCATTCCACTGCATATCGGACAATGGACAATGTGCCTGTGTGCGTGTTGTTGTGTGTTTGTCAATCTGTCTGAGGTGTAGTGACCAACACTAGTGGATAACGCATGGACGACGAGGCATGGAAGTCACGAGGTGTTCTCCAATGCATGCAATGTGTGCTCACCGAGTCATATGCATGTGGAGATCCACAGTCAGTATATGTGAGTGACTTGATGGAGATGTGACTGGGATTGAGACCGAGGTTGTCGACAGCAAATATGTGTGCTGACTGAATGGTGCATTGTGACTGCAGACAACTTGGATCAGCTCACTGATTGACACGTTGTGTGAATGTGTGATATGAGATGCTGTGAAAATCTGTCACGTGACAATCAACACACCACAAACTGTCATTGTATGTGTTTTCAGTGGATCCAGTGAGTAGAGGTGGGATGTGGTTGGGTGATTGTTGACCATAACATGTCAGATGAGGATTGGTCTGACCAAGTCACCATTGACACGTCATCCACACAACCACTACAAAACAGAAATCATGACAACACCAATATAATGCATAGGTCTCACACAGTCACAATCTAGCACCAAATACTGCACACTACACACTCCAGCCTAATCCACTCTATGATCTCTTTCACTTTCAGGTGTCAAGTGAACAACCAGCATCGACGAGTGAACGTCAGACCGGAGACAATGAGACCAGAGACACTTCAGGAGACTCTGACTCCATCAGTCACATGGGTGTTGGTGTTGGTGTCGGTGCCAGTGAGGAGAATCTTCTCGACACACAGGTAATCTCGTTCACACACTTGTTTCCTTCATTGACGTGTTGTGGAATGTTGATGAGATCGGTGACTAGTCGTATGTGTAGGCATTCCACTGCATATCGGACAATGGACAATGTGCCTGTGTGCGTGTTGTTGTGTGTTTGTCAATCTGTCTGAGGTGTAGTGACCAACACTAGTGGATAACGCATGGACGACGAGGCATGGAAGTCACGAGGTGTTCTCCAATGCATGCAATGTGTGCTCACCGAGTCATATGCATGTGGAGATCCACAGTCAGTATATGTGAGTGACTTGATGGAGATGTGACTGGGATTGAGACCGAGGTTGTCGACAGCAAATATGTGTGCTGACTGAATGGTGCATTGTGACTGCAGACAACTTGGATCAGCTCACTGATTGACACGTTGTGTGAATGTGTGATATGAGATGCTGTGAAAATCTGTCACGTGACAATGAACACACCACAAACTGTCATTGTATGTGTTTTCAGTGGATCCAGTGAGTAGAGGTGGGATGTGGTTGGGTGATTGTTGACCATAACATGTCAGATGAGGATTGGTCTGACCAAGTCACCATTGACACGTCATCCACACAACCACTACAAAACAGAAATCATGACAACACCAATATAATGCATAGGTCTCACACAGTCACAATCTAGCACCAAATACTGCACACTACACACTCCAGCCTAATCCACTCTATGATCTCTTTCACTTTCAGGTGTCAAGTGAACAACCAGCATCGACGAGTGAACGTCAGACCGGAGACAATGAGACCAGAGACACTTCAGGAGACTCTGACTCCATCAGTCACATGGGTGTTGGTGTTGGTGTCGGTGCCAGTGAGGAGAATCTTCTCGACACACAGGTAATCTCGTTCACACACTTGTTTCCTTCATTGACGTGTTGTGGAATGTTGATGAGATCGGTGACTAGTCGTATGTGTAGGCATTCCACTGCATATCGGACAATGGACAATGTGCCTGTGTGCGTGTTGTTGTGTGTTTGTCAATCTGTCTGAGGTGTAGTGACCAACACTAGTGGATAACGCATGGACGACGAGGCATGGAAGTCACGAGGTGTTCTCCAATGCATGCAATGTGTGCTCACCGAGTCATATGCATGTGGAGATCCACAGTCAGTATATGTGAGTGACTTGATGGAGATGTGACTGGGATTGAGACCGAGGTTGTCGACAGCAAATATGTGTGCTGACTGAATGGTGCATTGTGACTGCAGACAACTTGGATCAGCTCACTGATTGACACGTTGTGTGAATGTGTGATATGAGATGCTGTGAAAATCTGTCACGTGACAATGAACACACCACAAACTGTCATTGTATGTGTTTTCAGTGGATCCAGTGAGTAGAGGTGGGATGTGGTTGGGTGATTGTTGACCATAACATGTCAGATGAGGATTGGTCTGACCAAGTCACCATTGACACGTCATCCACACAACCACTACAAAACAGAAATCATGACAACACCAATATAATGCATAGGTCTCACACAGTCACAATCTAGCACCAAATACTGCACACTACACACTCCAGCCTAATCCACTCTATGATCTCTTTCACTTTCAGGTGTCAAGTGAACAACCAGCATCGACGAGTGAACGTCAGACCGGAGACAATGAGACCAGAGACACTTCAGGAGACTCTGACTCCATCAGTCACATGGGTGTTGGTGTTGGTGTCGGTGCCAGTGAGGAGAATCTTCTCGACACACAGGTAATCTCGTTCACACACTTGTTTCCTTCATTGACGTGTTGTGGAATGTTGATGAGATCGGTGACTAGTCGTATGTGTAGGCATTCCACTGCATATCGGACAATGGACAATGTGCCTGTGTGCGTGTTGTTGTGTGTTTGTCAATCTGTCTGAGGTGTAGTGACCAACACTAGTGGATAACGCATGGACGACGAGGCATGGAAGTCACGAGGTGTTCTCCAATGCATGCAATGTGTGCTCACCGAGTCATATGCATGTGGAGATCCACAGTCAGTATATGTGAGTGACTTGATGGAGATGTGACTGGGATTGAGACCGAGGTTGTCGACAGCAAATATGTGTGCTGACTGAATGGTGCATTGTGACTGCAGACAACTTGGATCAGCTCACTGATTGACACGTTGTGTGAATGTGTGATATGAGATGCTGTGAAAATCTGTCACGTGACAATCAACACACCACAAACTGTCATTGTATGTGTTTTCAGTGGATCCAGTGAGTAGAGGTGGGATGTGGTTGGGTGATTGTTGACCATAACATGTCAGATGAGGATTGGTCTGACCAAGTCACCATTGACACGTCATCCACACAACCACTACAAAACAGAAATCATGACAACACCAATATAATGCATAGGTCTCACACAGTCACAATCTAGCACCAAATACTGCACACTACACACTCCAGCCTAATCCACTCTATGATCTCTTTCACTTTCAGGTGTCAAGTGAACAACCAGCATCGACGAGTGAACGTCAGACCGGAGACAATGAGACCAGAGACACTTCAGGAGACTCTGACTCCATCAGTCACATGGGTGTTGGTGTTGGTGTCGGTGCCAGTGAGGAGAATCTTCTCGACACACAGGTAATCTCGTTCACACACTTGTTTCCTTCATTGACGTGTTGTGGAATGTTGATGAGATCGGTGACTAGTCGTATGTGTAGGCATTCCACTGCATATCGGACAATGGACAATGTGCCTGTGTGCGTGTTGTTGTGTGTTTGTCAATCTGTCTGAGGTGTAGTGACCAACACTAGTGGATAACGCATGGACGACGAGGCATGGAAGTCACGAGGTGTTCTCCAATGCATGCAATGTGTGCTCACCGAGTCATATGCATGTGGAGATCCACAGTCAGTATATGTGAGTGACTTGATGCAGATGTGACTGGGATTGAGACCGAGGTTGTCGACAGCAAATATGTGTGCTGACTGAATGGTGCATTGTGACTGCAGACAACTTGGATCAGCTCACTGATTGACACGTTGTGTGAATGTGTGATATGAGATGCTGTGAAAATCTGTCACGTGACAATCAACACACCACAAACTGTCATTGTATGTGTTTTCAGTGGATCCAGTGAGTAGAGGTGGGATGTGGTTGGGTGATTGTTGACCATAACATGTCAGATGAGGATTGGTCTGACCAAGTCACCATTGACACGTCATCCACACAACCACTACAAAACAGAAATCATGACAACACCAATATAATGCATAGGTCTCACACAGTCACAATCTAGCACCAAATACTGCACACTACACACTCCAGCCTAATCCACTCTATGATCTCTTTCACTTTCAGGTGTCAAGTGAACAACCAGCATCGACGAGTGAACGTCAGACCGGAGACAATGAGACCAGAGACACTTCAGGAGACTCTGACTCCATCAGTCACATGGGTGTTGGTGTTGGTGTCGGTGCCAGTGAGGAGAATCTTCTCGACACACAGGTAATCTCGTTCACACACTTGTTTCCTTCATTGACGTGTTGTGGAATGTTGATGAGATCGGTGACTAGTCGTATGTGTAGGCATTCCACTGCATATCGGACAATGGACAATGTGCCTGTGTGCGTGTTGTTGTGTGTTTGTCAATCTGTCTGAGGTGTAGTGACCAACACTAGTGGATAACGCATGGACGACGAGGCATGGAAGTCACGAGGTGTTCTCCAATGCATGCAATGTGTGCTCACCGAGTCATATGCATGTGGAGATCCACAGTCAGTATATGTGAGTGACTTGATGGAGATGTGACTGGGATTGAGACCGAGGTTGTCGACAGCAAATATGTGTGCTGACTGAATGGTGCATTGTGACTGCAGACAACTTGGATCAGCTCACTGATTGACACGTTGTGTGAATGTGTGATATGAGATGCTGTGAAAATCTGTCACGTGACAATGAACACACCACAAACTGTCATTGTATGTGTTTTCAGTGGATCCAGTGAGTAGAGGTGGGATGTGGTTGGGTGATTGTTGACCATAACATGTCAGATGAGGATTGGTCTGACCAAGTCACCATTGACACGTCATCCACACAACCACTACAAAACAGAAATCATGACAACACCAATATAATGCATAGGTCTCACACAGTCACAATCTAGCACCAAATACTGCACACTACACACTCCAGCCTAATCCACTCTATGATCTCTTTCACTTTCAGGTGTCAAGTGAACAACCAGCATCGACGAGTGAACGTCAGACCGGAGACAATGAGACCAGAGACACTTCAGGAGACTCTGACTCCATCAGTCACATGGGTGTTGGTGTTGGTGTCGGTGCCAGTGAGGAGAATCTTCTCGACACACAGGTAATCTCGTTCACACACTTGTTTCCTTCATTGACGTGTTGTGGAATGTTGATGAGGTCGGTGACTAGTCGTATGTGTAGGCATTCCACTGCATATCGGACAATGGACAATGTGCCTGTGTGCGTGTTGTTGTGTGTTTGTCAATCTGTCTGAGGTGTAGTGACCAACACTAGTGGATAACGCATGGACGACGAGGCATGGAAGTCACGAGGTGTTCTCCAATGCATGCAATGTGTGCTCACCGAGTCATATGCATGTGGAGATCCACAGTCAGTATATGTGAGTGACTTGATGGAGATGTGACTGGGATTGAGACCGAGGTTGTCGACAGCAAATATGTGTGCTGACTGAATGGTGCATTGTGACTGCAGACAACTTGGATCAGCTCACTGATTGACACGTTGTGTGAATGTGTGATATGAGATGCTGTGAAAATCTGTCACGTGACAATCAACACACCACAAACTGTCATTGTATGTGTTTTCAGTGGATCCAGTGAGTAGAGGTGGGATGTGGTTGGGTGATTGTTGACCATAACATGTCAGATGAGGATTGGTCTGACCAAGTCACCATTGACACGTCATCCACACAACCACTACAAAACAGAAATCATGACAACACCAATATAATGCATAGGTCTCACACAGTCACAATCTAGCACCAAATACTGCACACTACACACTCCAGCCTAATCCACTCTATGATCTCTTTCACTTTCAGGTGTCAAGTGAACAACCAGCATCGACGAGTGAACGTCAGACCGGAGACAATGAGACCAGAGACACTTCAGGAGACTCTGACTCCATCAGTCACATGGGTGTTGGTGTTGGTGTCGGTGCCAGTGAGGAGAATCTTCTCGACACACAGGTAATCTCGTTCACACACTTGTTTCCTTCATTGACGTGTTGTGGAATGTTGATGAGATCGGTGACTAGTCGTATGTGTAGGCATTCCACTGCATATCGGACAATGGACAATGTGCCTGTGTGCGTGTTGTTGTGTGTTTGTCAATCTGTCTGAGGTGTAGTGACCAACACTAGTGGATAACGCATGGACGACGAGGCATGGAAGTCACGAGGTGTTCTCCAATGCATGCAATGTGTGCTCACCGAGTCATATGCATGTGGAGATCCACAGTCAGTATATGTGAGTGACTTGATGCAGATGTGACTGGGATTGAGACCGAGGTTGTCGACAGCAAATATGTGTGCTGACTGAATGGTGCATTGTGACTGCAGACAACTTGGATCAGCTCACTGATTGACACGTTGTGTGAATGTGTGATATGAGATGCTGTGAAAATCTGTCACGTGACAATGAACACACCACAAACTGTCATTGTATGTGTTTTCAGTGGATCCAGTGAGTAGAGGTGGGATGTGGTTGGGTGATTGTTGACCATAACATGTCAGATGAGGATTGGTCTGACCAAGTCACCATTGACACGTCATCCACACAACCACTACAAAACAGAAATCATGACAACACCAATATAATGCATAGGTCTCACACAGTCACAATCTAGCACCAAATACTGCACACTACACACTCCAGCCTAATCCACTCTATGATCTCTTTCACTTTCAGGTGTCAAGTGAACAACCAGCATCGACGAGTGAACGTCAGACCGGAGACAATGAGACCAGAGACACTTCAGGAGACTCTGACTCCATCAGTCACATGGGTGTTGGTGTTGGTGTCGGTGCCAGTGAGGAGAATCTTCTCGACACACAGGTAATCTCGTTCACACACTTGTTTCCTTCATTGACGTGTTGTGGAATGTTGATGAGGTCGGTGACTAGTCGTATGTGTAGGCATTCCACTGCATATCGGACAATGGACAATGTGCCTGTGTGCGTGTTGTTGTGTGTTTGTCAATCTGTCTGAGGTGTAGTGACCAACACTAGTGGATAACGCATGGACGACGAGGCATGGAAGTCACGAGGTGTTCTCCAATGCATGCAATGTGTGCTCACCGAGTCATATGCATGTGGAGATCCACAGTCAGTATATGTGAGTGACTTGATGCAGATGTGACTGGGATTGAGACCGAGGTTGTCGACAGCAAATATGTGTGCTGACTGAATGGTGCATTGTGACTGCAGACAACTTGGATCAGCTCACTGATTGACACGTTGTGTGAATGTGTGATATGAGATGCTGTGAAAATCTGTCACGTGACAATCAACACACCACAAACTGTCATTGTATGTGTTTTCAGTGGATCCAGTGAGTAGAGGTGGGATGTGGTTGGGTGATTGTTGACCATAACATGTCAGATGAGGATTGGTCTGACCAAGTCACCATTGACACGTCATCCACACAACCACTACAAAACAGAAATCATGACAACACCAATATAATGCATAGGTCTCACACAGTCACAATCTAGCACCAAATACTGCACACTACACACTCCAGCCTAATCCACTCTATGATCTCTTTCACTTTCAGGTGTCAAGTGAACAACCAGCATCGACGAGTGAACGTCAGACCGGAGACAATGAGACCAGAGACACTTCAGGAGACTCTGACTCCATCAGTCACATGGGTGTTGGTGTTGGTGTCGGTGCCAGTGAGGAGAATCTTCTCGACACACAGGTAATCTCGTTCACACACTTGTTTCCTTCATTGACGTGTTGTGGAATGTTGATGAGATCGGTGACTAGTCGTATGTGTAGGCATTCCACTGCATATCGGACAATGGACAATGTGCCTGTGTGCGTGTTGTTGTGTGTTTGTCAATCTGTCTGAGGTGTAGTGACCAACACTAGTGGATAACGCATGGACGACGAGGCATGGAAGTCACGAGGTGTTCTCCAATGCATGCAATGTGTGCTCACCGAGTCATATGCATGTGGAGATCCACAGTCAGTATATGTGAGTGACTTGATGGAGATGTGACTGGGATTGAGACCGAGGTTGTCGACAGCAAATATGTGTGCTGACTGAATGGTGCATTGTGACTGCAGACAACTTGGATCAGCTCACTGATTGACACGTTGTGTGAATGTGTGATATGAGATGCTGTGAAAATCTGTCACGTGACAATGAACACACCACAAACTGTCATTGTATGTGTTTTCAGTGGATCCAGTGAGTAGAGGTGGGATGTGGTTGGGTGATTGTTGACCATAACATGTCAGATGAGGATTGGTCTGACCAAGTCACCATTGACACGTCATCCACACAACCACTACAAAACAGAAATCATGACAACACCAATATAATGCATAGGTCTCACACAGTCACAATCTAGCACCAAATACTGCACACTACACACTCAAGCCTAATCCACTCTATGATCTCTTTCATTTTCAGGTGTCAAGTGAGCAATCAGCATCGACGAGTGAACGTCAGACCGGAGACAATGAGACCAGAGACACTTCAGGAGACTCTGACTCCATCAGTCACATGGGTGTTGGTGTTGGTGTCGGTGCCAGTGAGGAGAATCTTCTCGACACACAGGTAATCTCGTTCACACACTTGTTTCCTTCATTGACGTGTTGTGGAATGTTGATGAGATCGGTGACTAGTCGTATGTGTAGGCATTCCACTGCATATCGGACAATGGACAATGTGCCTGTGTGCGTGTTGTTGTGTGTTTGTCAATCTGTCTGAGGTGTAGTGACCAACACTAGTGGATAACGCATGGACGACGAGGCATGGAAGTCACGAGGTGTTCTCCAATGCATGCAATGTGTGCTCACCGAGTCATATGCATGTGGAGATCCACAGTCAGTATATGTGAGTGACTTGATGGAGATGTGACTGGGATTGAGACCGAGGTTGTCGACAGCAAATATGTGTGCTGACTGAATGGTGCATTGTGACTGCAGACAACTTGGATCAGCTCACTGATTGACACGTTGTGTGAATGTGTGATATGAGATGCTGTGAAAATCTGTCACGTGACAATCAACACACCACAAACTGTCATTGTATGTGTTTTCAGTGGATCCAGTGAGTAGAGGTGGGATGTGGTTGGGTGATTGTTGACCATAACATGTCAGATGAGGATTGGTCTGACCAAGTCACCATTGACACGTCATCCACACAACCACTACAAAACAGAAATCATGACAACACCAATATAATGCATAGGTCTCACACAGTCACAATCTAGCACCAAATACTGCACACTACACACTCCAGCCTAATCCACTCTATGATCTCTTTCACTTTCAGGTGTCAAGTGAACAACCAGCATCGACGAGTGAACGTCAGACCGGAGACAATGAGACCAGAGACACTTCAGGAGACTCTGACTCCATCAGTCACATGGGTGTTGGTGTTGGTGTCGGTGCCAGTGAGGAGAATCTTCTCGACACACAGGTAATCTCGTTCACACACTTGTTTCCTTCATTGACGTGTTGTGGAATGTTGATGAGATCGGTGACTAGTCGTATGTGTAGGCATTCCACTGCATATCGGACAATGGACAATGTGCCTGTGTGCGTGTTGTTGTGTGTTTGTCAATCTGTCTGAGGTGTAGTGACCAACACTAGTGGATAACGCATGGACGACGAGGCATGGAAGTCACGAGGTGTTCTCCAATGCATGCAATGTGTGCTCACCGAGTCATATGCATGTGGAGATCCACAGTCAGTATATGTGAGTGACTTGATGGAGATGTGACTGGGATTGAGACCGAGGTTGTCGACAGCAAATATGTGTGCTGACTGAATGGTGCATTGTGACTGCAGACAACTTGGATCAGCTCACTGATTGACACGTTGTGTGAATGTGTGATATGAGATGCTGTGAAAATCTGTCACGTGACAATCAACACACCACAAACTGTCATTGTATGTGTTTTCAGTGGATCCAGTGAGTAGAGGTGGGATGTGGTTGGGTGATTGTTGACCATAACATGTCAGATGAGGATTGGTCTGACCAAGTCACCATTGACACGTCATCCACACAACCACTACAAAACAGAAATCATGACAACACCAATATAATGCATAGGTCTCACACAGTCACAATCTAGCACCAAATACTGCACACTACACACTCCAGCCTAATCCACTCTATGATCTCTTTCACTTTCAGGTGTCAAGTGAACAACCAGCATCGACGAGTGAACGTCAGACCGGAGACAATGAGACCAGAGACACTTCAGGAGACTCTGACTCCATCAGTCACATGGGTGTTGGTGTTGGTGTCGGTGCCAGTGAGGAGAATCTTCTCGACACACAGGTAATCTCGTTCACACACTTGTTTCCTTCATTGACGTGTTGTGGAATGTTGATGAGATCGGTGACTAGTCGTATGTGTAGGCATTCCACTGCATATCGGACAATGGACAATGTGCCTGTGTGCGTGTTGTTGTGTGTTTGTCAATCTGTCTGAGGTGTAGTGACCAACACTAGTGGATAACGCATGGACGACGAGGCATGGAAGTCACGAGGTGTTCTCCAATGCATGCAATGTGTGCTCACCGAGTCATATGCATGTGGAGATCCACAGTCAGTATATGTGAGTGACTTGATGGAGATGTGACTGGGATTGAGACCGAGGTTGTCGACAGCAAATATGTGTGCTGACTGAATGGTGCATTGTGACTGCAGACAACTTGGATCAGCTCACTGATTGACACGTTGTGTGAATGTGTGATATGAGATGCTGTGAAAATCTGTCACGTGACAATGAACACACCACAAACTGTCATTGTATGTGTTTTCAGTGGATCCAGTGAGTAGAGGTGGGATGTGGTTGGGTGATTGTTGACCATAACATGTCAGATGAGGATTGGTCTGACCAAGTCACCATTGACACGTCATCCACACAACCACTACAAAACAGAAATCATGACAACACCAATATAATGCATAGGTCTCACACAGTCACAATCTAGCACCAAATACTGCACACTACACACTCCAGCCTAATCCACTCTATGATCTCTTTCATTTTCAGGTGTCAAGTGAGCAATCAGCATCGACGAGTGAACGTCAGACCGGAGACAATGAGACCAGAGACACTTCAGGAGACTCTGACTCCATCAGTCACATGGGTGTTGGTGTTGGTGTCGGTGCCAGTGAGGAGAATCTTCTCGACACACAGGTAATCTCGTTCACACACTTGTTTCCTTCATTGACGTGTTGTGGAATGTTGATGAGGTCGGTGACTAGTCGTATGTGTAGGCATTCCACTGCATATCGGACAATGGACAATGTGCCTGTGTGCGTGTTGTTGTGTGTTTGTCAATCTGTCTGAGGTGTAGTGACCAACACTAGTGGATAACGCATGGACGACGAGGCATGGAAGTCACGAGGTGTTCTCCAATGCATGCAATGTGTGCTCACCGAGTCATATGCATGTGGAGATCCACAGTCAGTATATGTGAGTGACTTGATGGAGATGTGACTGGGATTGAGACCGAGGTTGTCGACAGCAAATATGTGTGCTGACTGAATGGTGCATTGTGACTGCAGACAACTTGGATCAGCTCACTGATTGACACGTTGTGTGAATGTGTGATATGAGATGCTGTGAAAATCTGTCACGTGACAATGAACACACCACAAACTGTCATTGTATGTGTTTTCAGTGGATCCAGTGAGTAGAGGTGGGATGTGGTTGGGTGATTGTTGACCATAACATGTCAGATGAGGATTGGTCTGACCAAGTCACCATTGACACGTCATCCACACAACCACTACAAAACAGAAATCATGACAACACCAATATAATGCATAGGTCTCACACAGTCACAATCTAGCACCAAATACTGCACACTACACACTCCAGCCTAATCCACTCTATGATCTCTTTCATTTTCAGGTGTCAAGTGAGCAATCAGCATCGACGAGTGAACGTCAGACCGGAGACAATGAGACCAGAGACACTTCAGGAGACTCTGACTCCATCAGTCACATGGGTGTTGGTGTTGGTGTCGGTGCCAGTGAGGAGAATCTTCTCGACACACAGGTAATCTCGTTCACACACTTGTTTCCTTCATTGACGTGTTGTGGAATGTTGATGAGGTCGGTGACTAGTCGTATGTGTAGGCATTCCACTGCATATCGGACAATGGACAATGTGCCTGTGTGCGTGTTGTTGTGTGTTTGTCAATCTGTCTGAGGTGTAGTGACCAACACTAGTGGATAACGCATGGACGACGAGGCATGGAAGTCACGAGGTGTTCTCCAATGCATGCAATGTGTGCTCACCGAGTCATATGCATGTGGAGATCCACAGTCAGTATATGTGAGTGACTTGATGGAGATGTGACTGGGATTGAGACCGAGGTTGTCGACAGCAAATATGTGTGCTGACTGAATGGTGCATTGTGACTGCAGACAACTTGGATCAGCTCACTGATTGACACGTTGTGTGAATGTGTGATATGAGATGCTGTGAAAATCTGTCACGTGACAATGAACACACCACAAACTGTCATTGTATGTGTTTTCAGTGGATCCAGTGAGTAGAGGTGGGATGTGGTTGGGTGATTGTTGACCATAACATGTCAGATGAGGATTGGTCTGACCAAGTCACCATTGACACGTCATCCACACAACCACTACAAAACAGAAATCATGACAACACCAATATAATGCATAGGTCTCACACAGTCACAATCTAGCACCAAATACTGCACACTACACACTCCAGCCTAATCCACTCTATGATCTCTTTCACTTTCAGGTGTCAAGTGAACAACCAGCATCGACGAGTGAACGTCAGACCGGAGACAATGAGACCAGAGACACTTCAGGAGACTCTGACTCCATCAGTCACATGGGTGTTGGTGTTGGTGTCGGTGCCAGTGAGGAGAATCTTCTCGACACACAGGTAATCTCGTTCACACACTTGTTTCCTTCATTGACGTGTTGTGGAATGTTGATGAGATCGGTGACTAGTCGTATGTGTAGGCATTCCACTGCATATCGGACAATGGACAATGTGCCTGTGTGCGTGTTGTTGTGTGTTTGTCAATCTGTCTGAGGTGTAGTGACCAACACTAGTGGATAACGCATGGACGACGAGGCATGGAAGTCACGAGGTGTTCTCCAATGCATGCAATGTGTGCTCACCGAGTCATATGCATGTGGAGATCCACAGTCAGTATATGTGAGTGACTTGATGGAGATGTGACTGGGATTGAGACCGAGGTTGTCGACAGCAAATATGTGTGCTGACTGAATGGTGCATTGTGACTGCAGACAACTTGGATCAGCTCACTGATTGACACGTTGTGTGAATGTGTGATATGAGATGCTGTGAAAATCTGTCACGTGACAATGAACACACCACAAACTGTCATTGTATGTGTTTTCAGTGGATCCAGTGAGTAGAGGTGGGATGTGGTTGGGTGATTGTTGACCATAACATGTCAGATGAGGATTGGTCTGACCAAGTCACCATTGACACGTCATCCACACAACCACTACAAAACAGAAATCATGACAACACCAATATAATGCATAGGTCTCACACAGTCACAATCTAGCACCAAATACTGCACACTACACACTCCAGCCTAATCCACTCTATGATCTCTTTCATTTTCAGGTGTCAAGTGAGCAATCAGCATCGACGAGTGAACGTCAGACCGGAGACAATGAGACCAGAGACACTTCAGGAGACTCTGACTCCATCAGTCACATGGGTGTTGGTGTTGGTGTCGGTGCCAGTGAGGAGAATCTTCTCGACACACAGGTAATCTCGTTCACACACTTGTTTCCTTCATTGACGTGTTGTGGAATGTTGATGAGATCGGTGACTAGTCGTATGTGTAGGCATTCCACTGCATATCGGACAATGGACAATGTGCCTGTGTGCGTGTTGTTGTGTGTTTGTCAATCTGTCTGAGGTGTAGTGACCAACACTAGTGGATAACGCATGGACGACGAGGCATGGAAGTCACGAGGTGTTCTCCAATGCATGCAATGTGTGCTCACCGAGTCATATGCATGTGGAGATCCACAGTCAGTATATGTGAGTGACTTGATGGAGATGTGACTGGGATTGAGACCGAGGTTGTCGACAGCAAATATGTGTGCTGACTGAATGGTGCATTGTGACTGCAGACAACTTGGATCAGCTCACTGATTGACACGTTGTGTGAATGTGTGATATGAGATGCTGTGAAAATCTGTCACGTGACAATGAACACACCACAAACTGTCATTGTATGTGTTTTCAGTGGATCCAGTGAGTAGAGGTGGGATGTGGTTGGGTGATTGTTGACCATAACATGTCAGATGAGGATTGGTCTGACCAAGTCACCATTGACACGTCATCCACACAACCACTACAAAACAGAAATCATGACAACACCAATATAATGCATAGGTCTCACACAGTCACAATCTAGCACCAAATACTGCACACTACACACTCCAGCCTAATCCACTCTATGATCTCTTTCACTTTCAGGTGTCAAGTGAACAACCAGCATCGACGAGTGAACGTCAGACCGGAGACAATGAGACCAGAGACACTTCAGGAGACTCTGACTCCATCAGTCACATGGGTGTTGGTGTTGGTGTCGGTGCCAGTGAGGAGAATCTTCTCGACACACAGGTAATCTCGTTCACACACTTGTTTCCTTCATTGACGTGTTGTGGAATGTTGATGAGATCGGTGACTAGTCGTATGTGTAGGCATTCCACTGCATATCGGACAATGGACAATGTGCCTGTGTGCGTGTTGTTGTGTGTTTGTCAATCTGTCTGAGGTGTAGTGACCAACACTAGTGGATAACGCATGGACGACGAGGCATGGAAGTCACGAGGTGTTCTCGAGTGCATTCAATATATGCTTATTATTTCCTATGCGTTTATTTTTAGTTTGTGGATATATTTTTCTTCATTGTATGTCATATTTTCATGTTTGATTTTTATTTGATTTTACTTCTCGTTTTTTATTTATCTGCTCTCCATTGTTTCGCATTTTTTCACTTTTATCAACCTTTCTTTTCATGGCGTTTAATTTTTTTACTATTTTTTTATTTTGCGCAATATTTTGTGCACTTTCATAATCAGTGTTAATCAAATTGATGATACCGGTTAATCAGAGGAGCTTTACTGTCCCTTACTAATGATTGATCTCTTCATGGCCTTTTATTCTGCGTCAACTCTGTCAATTTGTGTCATATATCAGTTTTCTCCTTCTGTATTAGATTGTCGTCTACCGTTGTGTTATACAATTGAGTACTCGTTTGCTTAGTTCACTCGCGTATCCCGTCAAGCATGTTTGCGTCATAGTTCATATCAACATCGGTATCTCCAACAGTTAGTGGAGGTTGACGAAGCTACAGTTGATAAATTAAGTTGATGTTTACTTTCTTGCTACCTATCGGATTTTTCATGGGCGTTTTTTGTCTGCGAAGCTGTCCTATCCATCATTTTCACCTGATTAGGTGGCTGGTCAACAACTTCTTGGGTTGGTTATAGAGACGGATCTAATTACGGCCTACTTTATTACGTCATATGGCCTTTCGGGGTCCGGTCTAGATAAAACCTCTCGTACGCTATCTTCATCTTCGTCTGGAAGAAACGTGCTTGTGTGGCCGAACTTGTATCGTTACAAATTAATGCATTTATACAAAAATAATTCTCAAATCTGAAAAACCAAAGTTTTATGTCGGTAACTTTAAAATACGGAATAGAAAGGTTAAGGGACTTCACAGACGGCATTTGCCGTATACTTAGGGTTTTCCGAAGACGAATGTCCGGCGCTTTGACCGGGTTGGTGGATATGGAGGGTCCAGCTAGGGCAGTCGGGGAACCTGAGTTCCAAACCAATAGTGAACATGGGGTAGCTCCAGTATCCTAAAGGAATAAATGGTGTATGAACCAATTATTGGTCACCGGGTATCATGCGATTCCATCTCCTGACGTTGTTCCAGTGCCTTGTGGACCAGACTTTTAGATCAAATGCTCCGGGTGTGGCCCCTTAAGAAAACCACCTGTTTCGATTTGAGCACCCGGTCAGTATCACAACCCTAACACAAATCGAGTGGGGAAGTGGGGAGCATATATATTTGGTGCTTCTTTGTACCAATGTTTGTGTGTTTAATTAAATAAATGTAGGCGAGATGCCATAAATTCATTCATCCTAACTAAGAAAGAGTTATTAATTATAAATTACTATGTATGCAAATCACAGATATTTGTCATTTCGTATAACTATATGAATATATGTTAGTACCCATTTTAATTTTTACTGAAAACAATGGAATAATGTCAGTTAAATAAATTTTATTCACTAGAATGTAGGAAATAACAATTTTATCATATCAATTGGATGTAAACAAAACATTTCGCCATAACTTAACTTCATCGATACTGAAAACTGTTAATTCAGACTTTTGTCTTAAAATCTGTAATGAAAGAAATATATTCCACTGATTGAAATCAATTGAAGCTAGACCACCATGGGAAACCCAGAGGCACTGTACGGCCGTTTCGTCCTAGTACGTGACTCCTCAGCAGTGCGCATCCACGGTCCCGCACCCCGCGGGGTTCGAACCCAGGACCTACTGGTTTCGCGCGCGAACACTTAACCACTAGACCACTGAGCCGGCATCCGACGGTGTTAATGTCTAACTTCAACCAGTCCACGAAGTTGCGCCACCGTACATCATTGTCTTCAGTGAGCTGATATCTCACAACAGACCTGTTTATTAATGGAACTGATAAAAAGTCAACTAGAGTTCACTTTCAATGACGTATTTTAGTTTCATATGAAACAAACTTCTTGATCATTTTTATCTGGTACTTTTTTGTTTTATACAATTCCACATAGATGTATAAACCAACGGATGAAATGGATCAGACATCTGATGACTTGTACGTGGGACTGGTTAAACATAAAGTAGAAAAACAGTCTCATGATAGAAATGCAACGTATATAACATTTGAAGAAGTCTCAGGAACCTATCGAATGAATAGAAGAGCTGATTATAATTATACCATAAATGTGAGTATCTACTAAGTTCTTTGCATTTCTACATCTGTCCTAGATAAAATCATTCAATTTGGACCTCATTTAGAATATCATGATTGTATCAAACAAGAAAATCTGGAATGCAAGCGAGCCTTGATAATTCCTGGATGATTCTAAGTAATCTAGTGCAAAACAATGAGTTCAGTGAGGAGATGAAATTTTGGCTGTTGCTGAAAAAATTAATTGATTTTAAAAATACTGAAACTTCTTAAGAGGAAGTTGGAACTCATTTCGTTTACAAAGGTTTACTTGATAGATAGTAACAGTTATAAGGACATTCAGGTAAACGCTCAAATCGTAGGCATATGACAAGAGTTTATCTTCTTGAAAGGTCTCTGGAGATCATTATAGGCTAAAACGGTAATAGAATATACCATGATATATATTTTGCGGTTAGTAATTCTTATTATTCGAGATTCATTTCCACCACAAGATCCAGTACTTTAACAAAAGAATCACCATTCACAGTAGATAGTATTGATACTTAAGAGTAACATTAGGTCGTTGAGAAAATTTGTACAAACATGGAATGAGCGGTTAGTTATTTGAGTTTCCTCGTACACCTTATTGAAAATTTTGAGATGGACGCTTAAAACTAACGATCACAAAACAGTTTATTGGTTCAAGTTTAAAACTTCTAGGCAGTGAACATCCATGACTCCATGATGAACGGAAATCAGGATCATCAGGCACCTAGAAAATATAAAACCTTTGAACAACTGACATGAGATTCACGACCACTCAGGTTTAATTTTAGCCAAATTGTGATATCGCTTGATTATCACTGAAGAATTGTCTTCATTGTCCAGAATAATGTGTAGAATTTAAAAAGTTTTGTACTAAAGCACTTACAAAAATCAGAGGTAAATTAGGTATAAAACGCTAATCAAACTAATAAAGACTGAAGGTTCCTAATTAATAACTTTAAAGAGATAAACATAGTCTCACAGTTGCATATACAGAATTAAAAATGTCTGGGTGAGGCACTAATTTATGGACGACATTTGAGCGACGATAAAAACACTTTGAGAATGTCCACCTACATACTACGATTAAATGAGGGTTATAAACAAGTGTGAGGAATTAGGATCAATATTCACAATTGATAGTTAGGGTTAGCAACTGCATGTAGAGTTTTCATCACGAACTGGCATCAGCTACAATACCAACACTATATCTAGCCAAATATAAATCAATCAGAATTCAAGACCTGTTATCGTAAATTTGATTGGTCCTTTCATAAATTATACTCTCGACGATGTGTGGATAGTCGGAAAACACAAGTATGCTCATCAACCGTGGTTTGAACAACCTTCGAAACAGACATTTTTCTAAGTATTCTGCTTAATAACATCTGCGACACACTTGTAATACAATGTCCAAAATCGTATCGAATTCGAAGTGGACAGGTAGACTGTTTATTTGTAATTTGTTAAATTATTTTTCAACTGAATCTTTGATCAGAATCACTGACAAATTTCATAAAGCACTTCAGTTGAAACATTTGTTTAATTCTTGATTTATAAACACAAGATTTTGTGATATTTATGATAAACTTCAAGCGACATGATTTCAAAATTATTATTCCTCGGAGGAAGATTAACTTTAATCTGTAACATTATCGATATAATTTTGTCTAATAACTTACTTACGCCTGTTACTCTCAATCGAGCATAGGCCGCTGACCAGCATTCTCCAACCCACTCTGTCCTGGGCCTTCCTTTCTAGTTCCATCCAATTCTTGTTTATTTCTCTCATGTCTATCTCCATTTCCCGGCGTAATGTGTTCTTTGGTCTTCCTCTTTTCCTTTGGCCTTGAGGATTCCATGTGAGGGCTTGTCTTGTGACGCAGTTGGGTGCTTTTCTCAATGTGTATCCTATCCACTTCCAACACTTCTTCCTGATTTCTTCCTCCACTATAATCTGTTTTTTTCTCTGTCTCAGTAGGTTGATACTGAAAGTTTCTGGCCAACAGATCCGAAGTCTTTTGCGTAAACAACCGTTAATGAACATTTGTATCTTCTGAATGATAGCTTTCGCAAGTTCTCCAAGTTTCTACCCCATACAGTAAAACTGTCTTGACATTTGTATTAAAAATCTTGACCATGGTTTCGGTTAACAGTTGTTTTGAGTTCCAGATGTTCTACAGTTGTAAATATGCTGCTCTTGTCTTATTGATCCGCGCCTTCACATCTGCATCAGATCCACCATGTTCATCAATGATGCTGCCCAAATACGTAAAGGTTTTTTACATCTTCCAAATCTTTTCCGTCAATTGTGATTGGATTGGTACATATTGTGTTGTATCGGAGAATCCTGCTTTTCCCTTTGTGTATATTAACACCTACTGCTGCTGAGGCTGCTGCTACACTGGTCGTCTTCTCCTGCATTTGTTGTTGCGTTTGGGATAGAAGGGCCAGATCATCTGCGAAGTCTAGATCGTCCAACTGCATCCTGGATGTCCATTGTATCCCGTGTTTCTTTTCAGATGTTGACGTCTTCATGATCCAGTCAATCACCAGGGTGAGAGTAAGCAACCTTGCCTAACACCGGTCTTCACTTTGAACGACTTTGTCAACTGTCCTCCATGCACAATTTTGCAGTGTAATCCATCATATGAGTTTTGTATGATATTGACTATCTTCTGAGGCACGCCGTAGTGTCGAAGAAGCTTCCATAGTGTTGTCCTATTCACGCTATCAAATGCTTTCTCGTAGTCAATGGAGTTGATGTAGAGTGATGAATTCCATCCAATTGATTGTTCCACAATGATCCGTAGAGTTGCGATTTGGTCTGCACACGATCTATCCTTACGGAATCCTGCCTGTTGGTCACGAAGTTGGGCGTCTACGCAGTCCTTCATTCTGTTTAACAATACCATGTCGAAGACTTTTCCCGGTATTGAGAGAAGAGTGATGCCCCTGTAGTTATCACACTTGCTGAGATCGCCTTTCTTCGGTATTTTGATCAGAAGTCCTTCTTTCCAGTCTTATGGCACTTGTTCCTCATCCCAAATCTTATTGAAGAGAATGTGGAGTATCCTTGCAGTTGCCGATACGTCTGCTTTTAGTGCCTCTGCTGGAATGTTGTCCGGTCCCGCTGCTTCGCCACTCTTGATTTGTCTGATGGCCATGCTGATTTCTTCAATTGTTGGTGGGCCAACATCGATTGGGAGGTCTGTGGATGCTGCTTCGATGTTGGGTGGGTTCAGTGGAGCTGGTCGATTCAAGAGTTCTCTGAAGTGTTCTACCCACCTGTTTTGTTGCTCTTCAATGTTGGTGATTACCTCACCTTCCTTGCTTTTCACTGACCGTTCTGGTTGGCGGCGATTTCCAGAGAGCTTCTTTGTCGTGTCATACAATTGTCTCATGTTTCCTTCTCTTGCAGCCTTTTCCGCCGACGTTGCTAAATCTTCCACATATTTGCGTTTGTCAGTTCTGATGCTCCTCTTCACCTGTTTGTTTACTTCTGTGTATTCAGCTTGTGCCTTGGCTTTTTCTGCTCTTGTTCGACTGGTATTGATTGCTGCCTTCTCGTTCTTCCTTTCTTGAATCTTATCCAGTGTATCAACAGTGATCCATTCCTTGTGATGGTGTTTCTTGTGACCCAGGACCTCATGGCATGTTGAAGTGATTGCCTCTTTGATCCCCTTCCAGTTGCTCTCCACAGTAGTTCCTTCTCCATTGAGTAGATCATGAAAGGCCTGGAACTTGTTGCTGAGGACTATCTTGAATTTGTTGAGTTTGTTAGTATCCTGAAGAAAGGCCGTATTGAACTTTTGTGATATTGTCCGCCCCGTTGTCCAGTGCTTCTTGAGTTTCAATTTCATCTTGGCGACCAGCAAGTGATGATCTGATGCTATATCAGCTCCTCTCTTGGTTCTCACTTCCTCCATCGTCCTCCTGAACGTTTTGTTGATGCAAATATGGTCGATTTGGTTTTGTGTAGAGTGATCCGGTGAAGTCCATGTGGTTTTGTGTATGCGTTTATGTGGGAATATAGTGCCACCTATGACCAGTTTATTGAAGGCACATAGATTTGCGAATCTCTAACCATTTTCGTTTCTTTCTCCCAGTCCGTGTCGTCCCATGATGTCTTCATATCCAGTGTTGTCCGTTCCAACCTTGGGCGTTGAAATCTCCCATCAGAATGGTCAGGTCCTTTGTTGGGCACTTCTCGACGATTGACTGCAGCCTATTGTAGAATTGATCTTTAGCGTCTTCATTGTAGTCGTTGGTAGGCGCATAGCATTGTATGATGTTCATTGAAATGCCCTCTTTCTTTGTTTTGAAGGAGGCTTTGATGATCCTTGGTCCATGAGATGCCCATCCTATAAGTGCATTTTGTGCTTGTTTGGACAGCATCAATGCAACTCCTTGTGTATGTGGGGCATTTTCTTGTTCATGGCCGGAGTATAACAGAAGCTGTCCTGAAGTTAGTCCTTGTTGTCCAACTTGCGTCCAATGTGTTTCACTGATCCCAAGCACCTCTAGGTTGTATCTCCTCATTTCTGCAGCAATTTGGAAGGCTCTCCCGGTGTCCCACATTGTACGAACATTCCATGTACCTAAATAAATGGTTGCTCTGGTTGTCTAATAGTGAACAACTTATTCTGATATATCATAAGTGTTTATGGATAGTCACTAAGTAGAGCTGCTTGACATATGGATCATTTCATTTGGTATTTATAAGCAAAAATATGTTGACATTCACATCAAGACTCAACATTCGCTATGTTATTTGAACCCTCTTATCCAGTCCTCTAGTAAAAGAAATTACCTTTAACCTATTTAAGCAACGATCAGACCTCTCATAAATACTTGAACATTTTGTCGAGAAACATTCATTATTTTTACAATAATTACATTATCAGACGAGGTTTTGTGGAGATTTTGGAAATTTAACTGATGGAAATCATGATTCAATTGAAGCTAGACCACCATAGAAAACCTGGAAGCACTGGACGTCTCAGCAGTGCGCATCCATGATCCGCACCCCGCGAGATTCGAACCCAGGACCTATCAGTCTCGCGCCAGGCGCTTAACTAACTAGACCACTGAGCCGGGTTCAAAGGTGTTAATGTCTAACTTCAACCAATTCACGAAGTTGCTGAAGAGTCCCATACTAGGACTAAACGGCCATCCAGTGCTCCCAGGTTTTCCATGGTGGTCTAGCTTCAATTGGTTCATAATTTCTATCAGTAAAATAATTATATTATTTAACAATGAGAGATTTCTTTAGTATATATTACAATCTACTATGTAGTTTTCCATACTTTAAACAATATTTCAATATTATTGTTTCTTTCATTTTCTTTAGTCTCCATTCGACGAAGTCATAGTCCATATTGTAAGTTTTATTTATTGAATGGAATTTATTACAAATTGTTTTTTTTCTTAATTTAGGGACAGAAAGGAGACATTGGACCACAGGTAACACATTATTTTAATACTTATATATAATTATAAAACATTTGATGAGAACAAACTAACAAAGAACACTCAAAACCACAATTATTTTTTTCAAAAGGGGTTTTGTGGAGATTTCAGCAATTTTATAGTTGAATTCATAAGTTATTCGAAACTAGACCACCCATGGAAAACCTGGAAGCACTGGACGGCCGTTTCATTCTATTATGGGACTCCTGAGCAGTGTACAACCACGATCCCGCCCAGCTAAATTCTAACCCAGGACCTATCAGTCTTGCGAGCGAGCTCTTAACCTGAGCTGGCTGGCATCTAACGTGTTAATGTCTAACTTCAACCAGTCCAAGAAGTTGCACCAACGTGGCATTGATTTATGACAGGAATTGTCATAATAATCGTTGATTATTTTTTTATTAAAAAAAGTATTCCCTTATTGTAATTTCAGGGTCCAGCTGGTCCAGTGGGCTCTACGGGTTATTGTCCAGAAACAATATGTCCATCAATTGATATGAGTTCATTGAAAGTAAGTTGTTATTTATTAATTATAAATGATAATACTTGAAATTTAATAGAATAATTAAGAACAATGCAAATAAATAATACGTCATACAAGATTCACATTTACTTCAAAAAAAGAAAAAAAACAAATAATATAAATTGGCTAGTTAGTAATTAACATTATAAGGCTTGGACAATTCAATCTGTTTGATAGATTATCGTAAAATTAAAATTTTCATCTTAATCATAATTTATTATTAGGTCGAAAGTTTTATTGATTTTCTATAAATTTCATTGATAACATGTGATTTCATTTCTTATAGAATAATGTAGAACAATGATAATGAATTGCATTATTCACTCATGAAGCAGACTATATCTCACATTCAGGAGAAAATGACCAGTGTAGCAGCAGCCTCAGCAACAATAAGTCTCAACATACTCAAAAAGAGAAGCAAGATTCTTTGATATAACACAACATGCACCAGTCGAATCACACTTGACGGAGAAGCTTTGGAACACGTAAAAACTTCAAATATCTGGACAGTATCATTGATGAACTCGGCGGATATGATACAGATATGAAGGTGCGGATCGGCAAAGCAAGTGCAGCATATCTACAACTGAAGAACATCTGGAACTCAAAACAACTGTCAAACAACACCTAGGTCAGAATTTCCAATACGAATATCAAGGCAATTCTACTGTGTGGAACGGAAACTTGGAGACCTACGAAAGCCATCACCCAGAAGATACAAGTATTTATTAACAGTCGTCTACGCAAAATACTTCGGATCCGTTGGTCAGACACTATCAGCAACAACCTACCGTGGGAGAGAACAAATCAAGTCACAGCAGAAGAAGAAATCAGGAAGAAGCGCTGGAAGTGGATAGGACAAACATTGAGAGAAGCACACAACTATATCTCTAGGCAAGCCCTCATCGGTTGAAACCCTCAAGGCCAAAGGAGAAGAGGAAGGCTGAAGAGCATATTACGCCGAGAAATGGAGACAGACATCAGAAGAATGGACAACAATTGGATAGAACTAGAAAAGAAGACCCAGGACAGAGTGGGTTGGAGAATGCTGGTCGGCGACCTATGCTCTATTGGGAGTAAGTAAAGCAAACACTTAAGTATATAAAGGAAATAGGATAGATGTAGAAGGTCGAAAATAGAGATACGACATGTAAATAATTCACGACCGTCTCCAAGAACAATACACAGAACATTTTAAACAAAGACGATAGTGACCAGCGGTGGAATCAAGAACACGTGTTTCGTCTCATTTGGGACTCGTCAACTAGCTATACCTGCTTTTGACTTGAGGCAATACGGACGCAATACGCACAGGACGCACATATTATATATATATATATATATATATATATATATATATATATATATATATATATATATATATATATATATATAATGAATTCATATTATTCTACATCAATGTTTGTTCTCGCTTTATTTAAATCCATAAAGGGGATCAAGTGCATAACATCTATTCATGATTCATATTTTTAATTACAACCAGTCATTCTTTTCTATATCAGTTCATGTTATCACAAATATTACACGGTATAAAGAGTCCCACAATAGGACAAAACAGCCGTCAAGTGCTTCCAGGTTTTCCATGGTGGTCTAGCTTCAACTGACTCATGATCTCATCTATTGAAAAAATCCCAAAAGGTATTTGAAAACAAAGAATATTTTAGTGAATAAGTGTTTTCAATAACTTACTTACTTACACTTGTTGCTCCTCGTGAAGGAGCATAGGCCGCTAACCAGCTTTCTTCATCCAAACCTATCCTGGGCAAACCTTTCCAGCTCTCTCCAGTTGCTATTCATCCTTTTCATATCTGCTTTTACTTCCCGACGTAATGTGTCCTTTGGTCTTCCTCCTTTCCACTCCCCTTCAGGATTCCAAGTTAGGGCTTGTCTCGTAATGCAGTTTGACGATTTGCGTAATGTATGTCCTATCCATTTCCATCGTCTTTTCCTAATTTCTTCTTCAGCTGGAAGTTGGTTTGTTCTCTCCAACAGATGGCTATTGCTGATGGTATCCGGCCAATGGATGTTGAGTATCTTGCGAAGACAACTATTTATAAATACTTGTACTTTCTTGATTGTGGTTGTTGTAGTTCTCCAAGTTTCAGCTCCGTACAGTAGAATTGCCTTGACGTTGGTATTGAAGATTCTCACTTTGATATTGGTTGAAAGTTTTTCTGAGTTTCATATGTCCTTTAATTGTAGGAATGCATCCGTTGCTTTGCCAATACTCAAATTTACGTCTGCCTCTGAACCTACTTGTTCATCGATGATGCTTCCCAGATATGTGAAGGGTTCTACATCTTCCAGAGATTCACCATCAAGAGTGATTGAATTGCTGTTCTTCGTTTTGAATTTGAGGACCTTGGTTTTCCCTTTGTGTATGCTGAGGCCTACTGATGCAGAGACTGCTGCTACACTAGCTGTCTTTATCTGCATTTGTTCATATGTATGTGATAGAAGGGCCAGGTCATCTGCGAAGTTCAAATCGTCTAATTGATTCTGAGCTGTCCATTGTATTCCGTGTTTTCCTTCAGATGTCGAGGTCTTCATAATCCAGTCGACCACCAGAAGAAAGAGGAAGGGGGAGAGTAGACAGCCTTGTCTGACTCCGGTCCCTACTTGGAATGCATCTGTCAGCTGTCCTCTATGCACGACCTTGCACTGTAGTCCGTCGTATGAGTTCCGGATAATATTGACAATCTTCTCAGGAACTCCGTAGTGTCGAAGAAGTTTCCATAATGTCCTCCTGTCTACACTGTCGAATGCCTTTTCATAATCAATGAAGTTGATGTATAGTGACGAGTTCCACTCAACTGATTGTTCGACGATGATCCGTGGTGTCGCACTTTGGTCTATGCACGATCGATCCTTACGGAATCCAGCTTGTTGTTCTCGAAGTTGAACGTCTACTGCATCTTTCAACCGGTTCAGCAACACTCTGTTAAAGACTTTCCCTGGTATTGACAGTAGTGTAATGCCTCTGTAGTTTTTACATTTGCTCAGATCTCCTTTCTTTTGAATCTTGACGAGGTGTCCCACTTTCCAGTCCATCGGAACTTGTTCCTCCCCCCCCCCCAAATCTTTTTGAATAGAAGGTAAAACATGCTTGTGGTTACTTCGACGTCTGATTTCAGTGCTTCAGCTGGTATGTTGTCGAGTCCTGCTGCTTTCCCGTTCTTGACTTGCCTGACGGCCATTCTAATTTCTTCCGTCGTTGGTGGGTTGACATCTGTGTGTGCTGCTTCGATGTCCGCTGGATTCATTGAAGTCGGCCTATTCAGGAGTTCCTCGAAGTATTCTACCCATCTGTTCCGCTGTTGTTGAATTTCAGTAATAGGTTTGCATTCTTTGTCTTTGACCGGTCCCTCTGGTTTACTGTATTTTCCTTCTAGTTTCTTCGCTGTATCGTAAAGCTGTTTCATATTTCCTTCTCTTGCAGCATTTTCCGCCGTCGTTGCTAGTCCATCCACGTACTTCTTCTTGTCGGCTCTAATGCTTTTTTTCACTTGCTTGTTTGCTTCTATGTATTCAGCTTGTGCTTGGACTTTCTCTGCTCGTGTTCGGCTGTTGTTTATTGCTGCCTTCTTGTTCTTCCTTTTTTGATCTTGTTCAGTGTTTCTATAGAGATCCATTCCTTATGATGGTGCTTCTCTAGACCCAGAACCTCTTGACACGTTGAAGTTAATGCTTCTTTGATACTTTTCCAGTTGTCCTCCATAGTAGTTTCCTCTTCCTTCAGTAGATCTTGTAAGGCTTGGAACCTGTTGTTGAGAGCTATCTTGAATTCATTGAGTTTGTCAGTATCTCGAAGGAGGGCTGTGTTGAACCATTGTAGTGCTGTTTGTCCAGTTTTCCAGTTCTTATTTAGCTTCAGTTTTAAATTGGCCACAACTAGGTGGTGATCTGAAGCTATGTCAGCTTCTCTACTGGTTGTCATATCTTCCATTGTCCTTCGGAACTTTTTATTGATGCAAATATGATCTATCTGGTCCTCTGTGATGTGGTCCGGTGAGATCCATGTAGCTTTGTGTATACGTTCGTGTGGAAATATTATGCCGCCTATGACCAATTTGTTGAATGCATACAGATTTGCAAATCTTTCCCCATTTTTGTTTTCTCTCATAGCTCATGTCGTCCCATGATATCTTCAGATCCGGTGTTGTCTGTTACGACTTTGGAGTTTAGATTTGCCATCAGAATGGTGAGGTCCTTTCTTGGGCACTTCCGTATGATTGATTACAGCCTCTCATAGAATTGTTCTTTAATGTCGTCGTTGCTATCACTGGTGGGTGCATAACATTGGATAATATTCATTGTGATCCCCTCCTCCTTTGTTTTGATGATTCTGGATCAAAGAGATTCTCATCCTACAAGTGCATTTCGTGCTTCTTTGGACAGCATTAGAGCAACTTCCTGAGTGTGTCGAGCAGTTTCCTCTTCGTGACCGGAGTATAGCAGCATCTCTCGCGTATTTAGCCTTTGTTGTCCAGCTTGGGTCTAATGGGTTTCACTGATTCCCAGTACTGCCAAGTTGTATCTCCTTATTTCCGTTTCTATTTGACTCATCTTATCGGTCTCCTACATTGTCCGGACGTTCCATGTGCCTATAAAAAGTTTTGCGCTGGTTGTTAGAAGGGGCATCGGCCCCGTGGCTTTCGAAGGAACTCGGCTTTCATCATGAAGACTCATAATTCTTCTAAATGAAGACCTTCTAACTCCCAGGGCAGAGTTTAAATGGTTTGAATTATTTTTTCTGGTTAGCGTTTTTTAGCGAGTTGGTTTTCTACGGGATGGGGTCGCCAACTTCATGCCCAACCCTCCTCTTTTATCCGGGCTTGGGACCGGCAGTAACTCTAAAAGAGCTACAGTCGGAGTTTGTTTCAACAACTTGACATTCGAATTATGCACTTATAAGTCCATAGTTATCATATCTTTAAACGAAGCCTAGTCAAAGCACTCACTTTACAATAAGATTAACTGAAGTAACTAAGCACATAAAGTTACATTGACACCACTAAATATACTTTATAAATTCTGTAAAAGGGTACCTACATATGGTACATATATATATATATATATATATATATATATATATATATATATATATATATATATATATATATATATATATATATATGCTTAATTCACAATATATTTGCACTGTCAACAATTTATTACGACTGAGTAAAACCGATAAAATTCGACACAAAGAAAAAAGTGTTGGTTTATTAATGTGAGGACGGCCTACGGATGAACTCGAGGAAGCTCAGAAAAAGCCGAAAATATTGCATCCAGTCGTCTTTTGGAAGAATATTCCAAAATCTTTACGTGTGGCTTCCCTATTGCATAAGTGCTAATCACCCCCTGTATGCAGATTGGAGGACTTTAATGATTTCGTTTTTACTAAAAACTATAAATACCTGACAGTTTTGTATCACATTTGACACAGTTTGGAATAGCATTCCAAACACGTGTCTTCTATCTTCTCATTTGCGACTTGGTAGATTCTAGTGTTCGAGTTGCTCGAGTTATACATGGTATACTAAGAATCGAAATTCTAGATATAACAAATAATGATGACCAATTTTCACACCAAAAATTGATCGAAACCTACATATCTCCTCAATACAAGTTCGATTAATGATTAGATTTTAGAAGAAGAACAAACATCAGATCGGTAGTGTTACGAATGAGAGCACAGCTGTGGACAACCTATTAATTGCTTAACACAAACTTACAGAATCACTTGGCAAAATATCAAAACCATACATTGAATACCTCATTAGCAAAATCCCATCATTTGTCCTTCCCATTCTGTATGATTCTTCCAAGTCACAGTCTTTTCTTATTTACGTTTCTGTTTTCTCCAAGTCGGCTTTCATAGCCTTCTGCTGACAAACATTCCTCTTCTGATTTGTGTTACTACTTATAGTCTATCGACATAAGTAGCATACACCACAGTAATACTTGACATATTACTTGATAAAATGGTACAATCAGTAAATATTGCAACACCGTAAATGAAAAACGCCTAATTTAATTGAAATTTCGAACAGTATTATACACTTTCTATTAGCTTATAAGTTTTTATTGAAATGAAGTTTTGATCGTAAACACTGATGATATCCTTTGTCTGTATGATCATGTTTCCCTGACAGTCATCAAGGTTCAAAGATACACTACTCAATCAAGCTATTTGAATAATTAATATGATCTATTAGCAAAAATTACAAATTTGAGATTAGCGAAAGCTGAGTTACTTATCCAAACCAAACAACCGTAAGACAATATTTTGCTGGAAATAAACCTCAATAACTGTTTGTAAAAATAGATATATTTGAGTTGTCAAGTCTTGCGTACCGTGTACATTCGTAGTTCACAAATATTACGAATATATACATCATACAGGTCTTTTAATTTAACCAGAATTTTGAGTTTGCATATATCTTACACTGATTGTTAAACTAATGGTTTGACAATCTCCATGTGAGCTCAAAGTCTTAAGTCTGATCCACAAGGGATTATGGGTGCTTACTGTTGAAAACTGTTACACCGGGACGTAACAACAATCCAGCACTGATATCTCAATTGAAGTCGGTCTATGACGAATACCACGTAAAAATAATTGAGACTTTATTTTCTCAATATTACACTTTAATTCAGTAATCTTAAATTACAGCTAAAAAATAATAAGTAAATTAAATGCTGTTAACAATTAACCATAATAGTTACTCAAGTACATTTATTTTAAAAGAATGAATCTACAACTCAATAATTAGTCACTATGATCTGAAACTCGCATCTTTCTTTATTTTCGCTTACAATCAAATTTGGATTAACACTATAGGGTGTTCAAGGTGAGACTGGATCAAGTGAATGGTGTAATAGTTCATGTAAAACTATTGATGGAATTATTGGATTAAAAGGAATAAAGGCAAGTTTCAATGATTACTGATATCCTGATTGATTTACATCACCTTGAATTGGCGAACAAATCAATAAGAATAATTAAATTTATTATCAGTCATTATGAAAATCAATATTTTGTTCTAAATTGATTACATAACAAAAATTGATTTTGATAAAATGACCTAAATGTGTGTAGGATTTGTTTTCTCTTCTTTTGTTTTGATTTGTTAAACTATATACTGTTTTAAATAAGAACTTTCGTCTAAATTTGATCGAATAGTTTCATAATATTCGGTCGCCGAGTTAATGTGAGACATTAAAGATATTTCCTTGAAAAAGAATGGACTAGATTGCCAGGCGAAACGTTGGATTTACTTTAAATTCTTTCGCTGAGATTTTACAAATACAACATTCTTCCTCTTTACTATATACCGTTTTATTATATTCTGAATTACTATTGAATTAATGTTTATCCAAAGCCATAATCAAAATAATTGAAAGTGGATCCATACAAACTGACATAAAATTGAGAGATAGGAATAAGTGAATAAATTACTAATGTAAAACAACATATATAAGTGAATAATAGAGATCCTATTTCGCAACATGCAACATGGATACAAGCCCTTATTATTCTGACCACAACTAATATGCCTGTCGTCACATTACCGATTTGTACTTTTTACTTATTATGTTTATCTATGTAGTCTACTCTTATCACTGAATCATAAACCACTTTGACTGGTTTAACAATTTCGTATATGCATATAAATATTATTGTATATTAGAATAAAGCCTGATGAGGATCTAATCGAAAACACTATTATTCGCTTATATCTATGTTGTTCTAATTCACAATATGGGAATTTTTCAACTTACTACTTACCAGTAGCAATCAAAATATAGTAGATAAATTACAATTTTTATTGACCAGTTGTCTAATCACTGCACACCGCATATGATTATCACTACTTTAAAAGCATAATACAGATTATTGACTTTCATAATTCATGTCAAATGTACATTAAGTGACTTCACCACAACAATATGTATTGATGAATTTAGCTGATCTTCTGGAGAAAGCTATATAGAGCGTATGTCAGTAGTACGACAATTTAATCAACGAGTTAATGAACCTCTCCGTCGGTGTTCAGAAAAGCGTCAGACTAAATCCGAATTCAGTTCCATTCTATAATATTTGGTTGATAGTGGCCATGCAATAAATTAGAGTAAAGCATCTAGAGTAGTTTATGGTATGTTACCAAGCTTTACTAATGGGACTCGATCTCATCTCTGAGATATGATTAAAGTTATGAGGATCCGAGCTAATAGCTTTAGTCTCTGTGTTCAAAAAACAATTCCGTAACACTTCTGTTTCGTTGTTGGCTGAATAAGTTTATCGTTCAAAGCTTTAATCTACCTGTTGTGTTGAAATTATTATCATTAACTGACATGTTACCCTAGTCGATTGAATATTTTTCGTTAATGCATATAGATACTGCAGCACATTAGAATAAAACTGTTGTGATTTTAAGCACAGTTAATGATCACTTGATTTGGACACCAATCGAAATACGACTTATTCAGTCTTAGGACTGTGCTAAACCAAACACGTTCAACCGGTAGGAGCAGCATAACTTCCTTATTGATCTTGTGTTCGCCCAGCCCAACTCATCCAGTTGAGTCTAGAACACCAATGACAGCTTCAACTATGCGAATCATTTATTCCAAACATACGTCGTTTATATATCAGCCAAACAGACCTCATCTCATCATGAAATAGGAAATAACGTTTATACAAGATCAAACCAAAAAGTGGCTGTGAACGTGGGAGACTGTGATCAATGAACTGAACATAATACAAGAACAGTAAATCGTATAATAATAATGTATAGGTCAAAATGAAGCTTATAATAAGAGGAATATAGATATAGATAATCTAGTTAGTGAATATTTATACCATAAGAATATATAGATTATATTAGTCCATTAATAGGTCTCAGACGTTACTCGTAAATTAATCTTCACTAGGATATAACAAAAACTTGATAAATATTTGATAGAAAGCGATATCGTTTGTTCAGATGTGTAGCTCTAACTTGGATTGGCACTTATTTACTTAATAAGACTGATAATTTATCGTTAATTTCAGGGTCTGAAAGGTGATATGGGAGATACTCTAATATTATCATTTTCAAAAGCCTTACAACTAATTAAATACACTATAAACATTACAGTAAGTTTAAATTATTATTAACTAAATATTTGACAAGTTTATATAAAATATTTAAAATGTCAAATAACTTGTAATACATTAAATATAAGAAGTTCAGCAAAAGGATCTCTTTTCAACGAATTCATTATCAAGCTGTATAACCGTATCGTCATATTTATTCCTTGTTCATACGATTGTACAGCTTGATAATAAGCTCGTTAAAAAGAGATCCTTTCGCTGAACTTCGTGTATTTAATTGAATATAATAGTCAACATCGACAAAGATTTTCGCTCCAGGGTTCTAATCTTGCGAGACGAGATCATGGATTTTCACTTCTGAGGAGTCCCACAATAGGAAAAAAAGGCCGTCCAGTGCTTCTAGGTTTTCCATGGTGGTCTAGCTTCAATTGACTCATCATATCAATTATTAAAATATAATTGTTCATTTGTTTCATTATTGAAATGAGATAAATGATTGAATGGTAATCATGAAGCTAGTGATTTTTATGTTTTCTGACTGACAGTAAATCCACTATTTAAATGGAAAAACTAAAACTAAACAAAATGTTAGTCTTAATAGCTTATTATTTAAATATAGTTTAGAGCACAGCTTGACTTTTGCTAGACAATTACTAAAACATAAGACGTATTTTAATAGTTATTTTCTCTTATTATAAGACTATTAAGCATTATACACTTGCTACCTGGTCAGATATTAAGCTCAGGACTTAATGTTTACCGATAAACACCACAAAAATTTGCTCAATAGATCAGTACATAATAGCGTACAGCATCTTCCATTTAATTCATTTAACATTAGTAACAATGAATACTAGTCGAGAACAATATTGTTGATCGATTGAAGTTAGAAATATGATGCAAAGGATGGATACGAAGACGTTTAAAGATAACACATATGCTATGATGTATGAATATGGATGAATGCTTTTGAAGGGTTCCTAATGAAGAAAACTAACTTTATGGTAGAAAGCTGTTTGGTTTTTTTTCTTTAAATTAATAAGATTTAGATAATAAATAGACAATTTAGATGATGCATTATCTACTTCTCATTTCTGTTTTTAGTCATCAAATTATTTTCCCAAAGGTCAAAAAGGAGATAAAGGTGAAGTGATTCAGAGAAAATTCATTCAGAGAAGAATATCTTCACAGAATAATAGAAATTTTCATCGACGCAAACGGGGACAACAACAAGATTATGACCATTTAACTTCTCGAATTCATCCTTTACAAGAAAATAAAAAACATGTAAAGCATCCTTTGAATCAATCAACACATGATTCAAGTATCTTATTCACTGGATCAAATTTCGCAAATTTAGAAAAACAAAAAATTTTAGGTGTAAGTTATAGAAATCAACAACTGGCTTTAACCTCATTTTTCCAAGTATAAATTTATGAATAGAAATTCCCTTGTTTTACATTTATCTCCATTCACTATATCGGCCAACTCTCAAGAATCTAATCATTGAGAAACTTGAAAAGAACCACCACTGTGGTTTGTCTAATCTTCACCCTAACTGTTCTTTGACGAAATCACACAGAATTATTATAGAATTTATATATAAAATGGTGCCAGAGAACTAAGACCTCTCCGTAAAAATTTGTGGATAGATATGAATGTCACTGTTTAAAGACATTTGATGTATATTGTGTAACAATTTAAAATAAGAAAGAAAGATTAGCTCAGCGAAGAGTTCTCTTTTCGGCGAATTCATTTTCAAAGCTGTACAATCGCAAATATATATATTTATTTTTACAGGATGATAATAATACTGATAATAAACTTATGATATACATGGCGACAGTGAGGTTAAATAAACAAAGGTATTAGAAAAAAAAATTTTAAAAACAAGGAAAGTTTGATAGTTAATGGCTTAGATATTCATCGGGTAAGTGTAGCTCAGCATGATAAAATAACATAAAATGTTGAAGTAAAACAAACCGGTTTGGGGGTACAAGATTTGAAGGGAAGATGGGAGGTGAAGCAGGTGGCTATAAAAGAACAAGAGTAATGAGAAAGAGAAAAAATTTTAATACATTAAGACCATGGTAAAAGAAGAGGTTGTACCAGTCTCTTTTGTACACATAGTTCTGGTTTTTCAAAATGTATGGCTATTGCCTCGGCAATGCAAAGAAGATGTAGTCTAATTGTCTTAGGAAGGCTTCTACTTACCTTGTAGATGAGTTTGAACGCAGAGTCTGTCTTGATTGAGTGACCTGTGTTCATAAGGTGTTCGATTATAAAACTCCTTATTGAGCCGCCGCCTCCTCTTCTTAGCCACGCCGGACAATGTTCTTGAATTCTTTCGGATAAAGTACGCATCGAACGACCTATATACCTAGCTCCACAAGAGCAGGTAAATTGGTAAATGCACATTGAATTGGTCAGATGCGATAATTTATCTTGCAGATTATTGGTGAACAGTGATCGGCTGGAGAATAATATTCGCAATGTTGCTGCGAAGAATGTTCTTTTTAAAGAATCTGAAATTCTCCTCTTTAAGATATATGCGGCTCTATCACCTTTGAAGTCGATGTTCATGTATAAAATTTTCTTTTCTACTGCAGTTGTTTGTGGTCTTGGCATTTTCGGTTTCATGTTCTTATCAATGAATATAGAAGGATATCCGTTTTTGATAAGTATCTCTTTTAAAAAACTCAATTCTTCCTCTACGACCTCGGGGCTACAGATTCTTCGTATTCTTGTGGCGAGAGTTATTATTAAGTTTCTTTTTCTGCTGATGGGAACCCAACTGTGGAAATTTGATAGTTGGCCATTCCACGTGGGTTTCCTGTAGATAGATCTTTTTAAAGTACCATCTTGTTTCCTTGTTATATCTACATCAAGGAAGTGAATATTTTGTTTGCTTTCAACTTCAATTGTGAATTTTATTGATGAGTGACAATTATTAAATGTATTTAGGAGATCACTTAAGTTACATTTGTTATCACAAATGATAAAGATATCATCCATATACCTTTTATATAAGTGGAGGTTTTCTATAATTCTTTTAAGTTGGTTGTTTTCTAAACTGGCCATGAAGCAATCTGCCAGTAATGGACCAAGTGGGGATCCCATTGCTATACCATCCTTCTGTCTATAAATTACGTCGTTGAATGTGAACTGTACATTGCAAGTACAACGTAGTAATAATTCCTTCAAATAAACCTCAGGTATCCCAATGTTTATCTCAGTATTGTTTATGTACTTGCAGATAAAATTAATGGTTTCTGTAAGTGGGACATTAGTGAATAATGATTCCACATCCAGAGATAGCATAATTTTGCCACTTACATTCACTTCTTTTATGTGCTCGATAAATTCAAAAGTATCACGTACAGAATGTTTACAAATGAGTTTTCTAACGGGTTCTAAGAGATTCGCCAACCACTTTGCTATAGGGTGGTAAGGGGATCCAGACATATCGAGAATCGGTCTAAGAGGTAGGCCAGGTTTGTGTATTTTTGGCAAACCGTATAATTGCGGTATTATCGATGCTGTTGGTCTTATGTGCTCAAATACCTGTTCGTTGATTAACTGCTCTTTTTTCATTTTCTTAAGGACGTCAATTGGTTGTTTTTCTATAATTTCAGTCTTGTTTTTCTCATTGATGGGTTTTGAGAATTTGGTGTCATCTGATAACAACGTTGCCATTTTTTCAACATAATCCTTGCGATCTAGCAGCACTAAACCAGCACCTTTATCTGGACGTGTTATGATCAAGTCTTTATTATTTCTAAGTAGCTTTATCTGATTTCTATGTTCTTTTGTTAGTAGACTTTTGCCTGTTACTTTTGTGCTAATATATTGGTTGCAGCTGTCAAGAAGAGTAGATTTGAAACGTTGGAATTCTTGATCAGAGATTGGATTAAGACCATTTGTTTGTTTGATTAAGTTTTCGAATTGAACATGTGTGTTGATTTTGTTAAGTATAAGTATATATATTTGCGATTGTACAGCTTTGAAAATGAATTCGCCGAAAAGAGAACTCTTCGCTGAACTAATCTTTCTTTCTTATTTAATGTCATAATGGGTGTATTCTGTTTATTAAACAATTTAAAAGTCAAATGTTTATAAAACCGAAATTTTATTAAAGGTATTTTATATTCCATTATGAGAATTCATTACTGTTATAAAATACATGATATTGAATAAAGCAAGTACTATTGTTACTATTATTATGTTACAGATAATGCTAACCAATGAAATCTACGCCGCAGGTTGTGTCCAGATTGAAACTCGTACATTCACTATTTATACATACTTAAATCCTAATTAAAAGCATCCTATCATCTATCAATAAACCCAATAAAAATATCATTAGAGCTACTGTAGTGTGTGCTACTTATATCGACATAAGTAGTATATAGCCCGAGTCAGGAATATAATGTCTGGCAGCAAAAGATTGAGAAGATCAAGAAGGAAAGAACGGAAACGGAAAGCAACTGGCATAGAAATGCAGGAACAGTGAAGTGTGAGACGATTGACTGATATTTGTAGAAGAAGCAGTCAAGTTTGATACAATTGACTGATGTTTTACAAATTAAGTATCTACTGTATGGTTCTCAGATTTTACTATGTTCTGTAATTCTGTTGAAATACATTCGTTTGCCCCCACTGATGTTCTCGTCCACTACAGTACCATCTAACTTAAATAAACCCATGACATTAATTTATACAGTTGGTATTAAGAATATTTCCTGTTGTAAGGATAGTACTATTACTAGTAGTTACTACTCAAAAGTCTAACCAATCCATAAACAAAGGCTAAATTAAGTCATCAGTTGAAATAATTCATGTACCAACAAAAACTGATGATTTACGCCTCAAATGTCTAGAGATACGTAAATTATTTTTAAATTTTTATGTTAACAACATTATGCCCGATATGTTCAGGTATTTTGTCAATTATGTCAAGGTTTCTTGACATAAAAACTTGTATTCCTGACGTTTCGCCACCTACTGTAAGCTTCCTCCTCAGAGTAAATAAATAATCGAATTTAATTAGCACAAGTTTAAATAGTACATTGTTTCATTTGTACAACTTAAACTTATGTTAGTTTAATTCGGTTATTTATTTACTCTGAAGAAGCAGCTTGTATTAGGTTACAAAACGTCAGAACTACAATTTTTCTACTCAATGAGGTGTAACAAAAAATATACTTATCATTAACTTTCTTATCAGAAGGGGTGTTTTTGCGGAGATTTTATTAATTTTTTATGACTGAATTCATCAGTCAATTGAGGCTAGACCACCATGGAGAACCTGGAAGCACTGGACAACCGTTTCGTCCCATTGTGGGACTCCTCAGCAGTGTGTATCCACGTTACCACCCATGGTCATGGGATCAAATCGTGGATGCCCACTTCTGAGGATTCTCATACTAGGATGAAACGCCCGTCCAGTGCTTCTAGGTTCTCCATGGTGGTCTAGCCTTAATTGACTGGTGAATTTAACTATTATCTTTCTACGCAATGCTCAATTTACTTGATACTATCAAGTTCAATCTTGATATTGATACTTATCAAAACTTCTTTTTATGTTCTCTAATCAAAAAGGTTAAAATACTTCATAATCCTAATGAATTCAAAACTATTGGTTCACTTCTACCAGTTGGTGCATTAGTTGTTACTGAATTCTTCAATTATGAAGTATTATCATTTGCAAATGATAATCAATCATCTAAATGGGATTTAAATAGAAATTTTCAATTGGATCAACTTAGTTCATTGGGTTTATTTATGAAAATTGAAAATATTCATAATACATGGAAAAGAATACATGTTGTAAGTTTATTTAAGAATCAAGTTTGGAAAGTATTCTTCACACCAATCAGTTATGTTGTTCAAGTAGTGTTTCTTTTTTCCAATTAATTTAAAACATTTCATGAAGTAAACAGAACGAGTCATAATTCTGAAAGGACCATGCGTTCAGACAGTCATTTGAATCTGATCTTGAATGTAATTTCGTTATAAACACCATAGTTTCTTAATGAAGTTGAGCTGATTAGGGTTTAGTTGTTATTGAAAACAGACTCTTTTTAAGGGGACATATGTAAACATTCTTTTTTTAATGATAATAGTGGTATCGACAACGAACTAGGACAACTGAACCGCCATTATTTTGAAAAGAAGATATAACATTCTTTTTAACTTCCCAGTTAGTCTTAACTAATAAATCACATATGTTCACCATAATTCAGTCTTGAGTTTCTATAGAAAGCCTACAATCTATCACGAAACTAAATTGTATAATTGATAGAAAGAGTGAACGGGTGAAACGGGAGTTTGCTACCGTTAGACTAAATACTCGATCAATATGTCATACATAGACTGGGTCAAGTTCTTTCAAATACACAATTTATGACCAAAAATAGAGAACCAGAGTATAGACTAGACAGTACTTTATTCGACACACAAAGCCAGGACTAGAAAACAATAATAGGAAAGGAAATCTCACATTTATTAATCAGTTAGCTGGATGTATCTTTGTGCATGCTTGGTGACCAATCACATTTACGTTCAGTAGCCATACATCAACAATATTTAAGCAGAACGACTATAGTAACAGATATATTTCCCGATTTGATTATCGTCAAGGGAAACTAGGGTTGATCACGTTGTCTTCATATGTTAAATATACCATGCAATGCAAAAAATAACTTTCTAAAGGAAAAAAACTGGTGGCAAAACATTCATAGATGAATATGAATAACACTTAATCATTGCCGATAGGCTTTTTTGTACATAGTTTCTCAAAATATTCATATGTTAAATGATTGCAACACAGAGGCTTAGTTACAATAGTGCATATTTTGTGCTCAGAATCCTTTATTATAAATAAATATTTGTTTCTAAATGAAATGATTAGGTGAGGCTACAATTTATGGACGACATTTGAGCGACGATAAAAACACTTTGAGAATGTCCACCTACATACTACGATTAAATGAGGGTTATAAACAAGTGTGAGGAATTAGGATCAATATTCACAATTGATAGTTAGGGTTAGCAACTGCATGTAGAGTTTTCATCACGAACTGGCATCAGCTACAATACCAACACTATATCTAGCCAAATATAAATCAATCAGAATTCAAGACCTGTTATCGTAAATTTGATTGGTCCGTTCATAAATTATACTCTCGACGATGTGTGGGTAGTCGGAAAACACAAGTATGCTCATCAACCGTGGTTTGAACAACTTTCGAAACAGACATTTTTCTAAGTATTCTGCTTAAATAACATCTGCGACACACTTGTAATACAATGTCCAAAATCGTATCGAATTCCACGTGGACAGGTAGACTGTTTATTTGTAATTTGTTAAATTATTTTTCAACTGAATCTTTCATCACGAACTGACATCAGCTATAAATTATAGTCTCGCTTTCTAAGGATAAATCACTTAAATATTTGGTTTCTTAATTAAACTTGCAAGTATATGTTCAGTTAGGTTTATCATTTTAATCTAAAAAATTTTTTTATTTTTGTTTTTTGATGCAAAATGTCACACAGAAATTCGGACAAGAAGTAACATTTGGTCAACATGATGTAAGTTTACAACTTTTAATTATTTTAAGACAATTTTATTCATTTTTCTCCTTAAAAGAGAAGACAATCATAATTATAGAAGTAGAAAATATCTTATTTGAAAGTGAAATAATAATTTAGTTACGATCTTAAAGGGCTTATGATAGAAGAAAGCGGATCGGATAACAGTTTCTGATTCTTATAGAAAGAAAAGTCAAAAGCCGAAAAATGGTGATAAGTTCCCCTTTTTCAAATTCTCTTTAATACACCTAGAGACAGAAATGTAATTAAAAAACAACACCCTTTTTAAGCAAAGATCAATAGTGGCTAGTAGGGGGATCCAGGACGCGCGTTTCGTCCTATTTCGGACTCGTCAGCTGGATATACCTGCATCCCAGAGTTGATGTTCACTCCATGACTCAAACTATCCACCTTTGCTTAAAAAGCATATGACTTAAAGCTATATCCAGACAATCCGCACAGGATGCACATATGCCAACAAGAGGTTGATCCATTGCAGTCCTAAACAACAATGGGGAGATAGAAGTAAAACAACACCAAATCAATTTAAAACAACATAGTTATGATCAAATTTTCTGTGGTCGTGACCATGTTCGAATCTGAATCCAAGTTCACACTTGTTCGATTATCATAACCCACAATTAGGAGGAAGAATAATCGCTCCCAACAATTACAGTCGTTATAATCTGTGATATCATTTTTAAAACAATTAATACGATTGAACGATAAATGATAGTGTTGTATAAGGGGAAATGATGAAAAATTTTCATTAAGGGTTGGTAGATGTGAAACCATAATTGTTCTGTTAGTATAAAACTCAATTAAGTGACTGATTTCGTTGCAACCACCTGTAAACACAGGATGTGTGGAGCACTTGCTTTGGTCACATTAAGTCGATTGATGGGGGGTGGTAAAGGTAAACTTGCAAGTTTAAATGTTTCTAAGAGATTGAAGTTATGCAGTATTTAAAAACCTATCCTTTTTGAATACTAACTTTTATTATCTTTACTTTTCAATCATCGAGTGCAATGCACGTCAACAGTGTTTCTGCTAGTTCCTACTCCTTAAAAACAAGGGTGAACTATAAAGATCCTGACACAAGGTTCAGTGATAAGTCAAGCATCCCAATCTGTAAAAAGAAAAGATTCTTAGGAACCCTAAACCAAGGTTGGAAGACACATCTCTTGAAAGTAGGCAGAACACTGACCCCTACGGGACGATTCAAACGCATACTGACGATATCATTCCGACCCAGCTTTATTTCTCTAGTGCCATTAGCAACCAATAAAAATTCGGGATGAAAGAGCATTAATTTTGATGATTAGGACAAAATGGCGATGATTGTATCGTATGCAGCTCACTAATAACAACAATAGACCCTATATTCATATGCAACTTCTGTGCACGAAGGGTCCACTTTCTTTTTAACACTAAGCTATCCTTCCGATATTACGAGCTCACTATGAGCATCCAGTCCCCGTCGTCCTAATCTGTCAGATGTGTGGCCGCGGATGTCAATACCTCGGGAATAACCGCAACCCACTTGGATTAAAGTGTAAATGTATTAATAAATTTACTTACTATCCCACAGTAAGCCAAGCCTCTATATGCACGAGCTATAGACAACGAGAGGTATTGGTAATATCCTAGCTGAACTGTGTATCTGGACCAAATACTAGGAAACAACCCCTCCATTAAAAGTCATGTTGAACTCCAAACGCAAGGTAGAAGTGTTTTTGATAACTCATAAGCCAACTATCAGGGGATCATCGGACGTCAGGGTTTGACAGAATGACATTGTTCGGTAAGAAAGGATGCTAGAAAACCTACCGTAAACACTAAAATACCTAACAACATAGTGGTTCATGGGTTTCCGAAGCTAGTATGCACCAATCTAGATAAGATCCATGCACTTCCAAACCAAGTGATCCAATAAAATGCAAGTCATGCCGAATAGCATCTAGACGTTTATGAGTTAACAGCAGCGAATAAAACATACAGCTTGTGTTAACAAAGGGATTATTGGTAAAGACTTCATCAAATTAGAAATATCAAAAATTTTGTTTCTGACTTCGCTATATACTTTCATCAATGATTTTTGTATAAAGAAGTGTAGTCCTAATCAATGATAAACAATTATATGTTTTATTCTTAATTCCTGAATTAGCCTAATTTACAAATCTACAACAGTTCATCTCCCAAAGAACCTTCATCTAAAACTTATACCCCCAGATATAGAGAAAAAGTAAGCTGATTGTTATTTACTTCTTAATGGATTTGAAGATTTAGAACTATCTCAAGAAAAACTTGTTTTGAATCATAAATTCCATGGAAAAAATCTCTAGTTAATTAAATTGAAATTAAAGAACTATGTTTAATGTTATTTTTCCATAGTGGGGAGTCTTATATTTCTCTGTTCAAAATACAAGAAATATTTCCAAAGAGTAGATAGGAAGCATCTGGCAGTAGAATCAAGAACTCCCATTTCTTTCTATTAGGTACTCGTCAACTGAATTTACCTGCATTCCAGAGTTGATATTCACTCAGGGACTCGAACCCAGCTAAAGTCTTATTTATTTTATTTAAACACACAAATGTTGGTACAAAACGCACCGAATATATATGCTCTAGTCGATTTTCATAAGGACTTGGGTAGTACCCGGACGCCCAAGGCGATACAGGAAAGTCTCAAGTAGAAGAAATGTACGTCCTAGATCATACTGTTATCTACATTCCATCTATTCTCTGCTAACTTATGTCATAATGGATGCACATATACTAACCAAGGCTGATCAAATTTTATTCAGTCCAATCCAATCTATTTCAGATTTAATATTTCTAAGTTATTAAACAATGTTTGGCTGATATATGGCATTATTATTTACAATATTTTTTACATTTTTGATTAAAATACATCCGTTTTGAACCTGAGGGACAGTTTAACAGACGTTTCTTGTAGGTTAATAACTAAGAACATTAGGAGAATACACCTTTTTGGCTAATATAAATATATTTTAACCATTGAGATTCTACTGGATCAGCATGCATCTATTTCTAACACGATGTCTTCAGTGACTCCAAATGATCCTACAGAGAACGACAATTGTGAAGTATTTTAGTTCATTTATCTTCCTTGAGACCATTAAATCATATTCGTCGAATACACTAGCGAGTTCAATTTTTACTGATTCTTTTTGTCGCTTCAGATAGTATTTGCATTTCATCCTGTTCCTTTGACTGGAGGATCATTTTCAGGATGGCATGGAGCCAATACGAAATGTCGTGAAACTGCTCTTCATCATCTTGGAATACCTGGTTTTAAAGTACTTCTTGTAGACAGAAATTTTCCAATAGAACGTCTTATCAAATGGCAATATCAACATGTACCTATTATAAATCTAGGTGTAAGTATTTTCTTTCAACAAACTTTAAACAAATAGTAATTTTACCTTATTATTTTACACACTATATTATTAATAAGCCTGACTTTCTAATCATCTTATTGTCATCAGACGTCTTCCACCTTTGACCCCTACACGGAAAACAAAGTGCTGAAAGTACAGAAGAAACTTTACTTCAAAGGTTACCGCATGTACAAAGACCGAGAGTTATTTTTGGGATTAAATGTGACCTTGATATTCTAGAAGCTTCTGTTAATACTTAATTTGGTAACAATGCCGATAGTTGCCCAATCAGGAAAATGAGGGCATAATTAATTGTTTTCTAGGATTCTCTCGGAAGCTTTTAAGTAAGGTTGATCGGTCGATATATTTTTGTGTAATTATGAAGGACTATTAACGATTTCATTATTCTCTGAAAGGGTTATTACACTAGAAATCACAGTCAAATTATTAGGTATCTTTCATTACAAATTACAAAGCGGTCACATAGTTTTTAAATGAAAAATAGTGAAATTAATCACCTTTCTCTTCACAAATGTAGAGATTTAGAGACCGTTTTAACTTGATGAGCTCTTACCAATAAAAAATGAAGAAATTGATTAACATTGTCAGATTTTTAATGATTAACTAGTTAGTATTTGATATGTTTTTTTTATTGAACGCTACCTGTTATATCTTGTCGTCGTTAACTGTCGTGTTGTTAACGCTTATCACTTATAATCGAATGAGGGACCTTTGCAATTCTCACGACATGAAAGTAAGAATACAAAGACTGGTATAAGTGAAGAGTTATTAACCCCCAAAACATGACGGCGACGAAGACCCTAGTAGAAAATATCATACGTGGAAACAAAACCGAATACTACACTAACTAATCATCACATTGAATCAAAATGGAAGTAGTGTTGAACAAAACTCATAATGAGTAAATCCATCTAATTTTGACTTTTCTTACCATCATATCAGTATGGTAATATGATAGTGTTCACCTTCATAGTTATACCGTTACGAATCGATTCAAACGAGAAATGCGGAACTATTGAATTTCAACTCACTTTAAACATATCATGATCATTGCGGGAATATCAAGGTCTTCCATACAATTTGATGTTATGTTTTAGGTATGCAAATTATAAGTTTTATAATAAGAAAAAGCAGCTATTCAGTGTCTCCCGAGTTATCCCGTACAACATTCATCTTAATTCATTGTATTATTTGTGTGCTATTCATTAAGTACGATAGCCAACATCCATTTTTATTAATTCACTGTTATATAACATTCATTTGCATAATTCTATTGTAAAATCCATTTGTATTCCCACTATTTCAGTCAAGTATGATATTTGTCGAGTGTGTCCACTTGGTTAATTGTCCAGTTTTTGGAACAGCGAATAAAATTTTCATCTGTTTTATCTAGTTTATAGAACTTAATTGTTTTGTGCTGTGAAAAATGCTGACATTTTGTTTACTACTACTTATATATAAATAAATCATTATAGAGTCAAACTGTATTTTCGAAATGGAGAGATTTCCTATATGGTATTCGTTCGAATACAAACGTACCACTGTACGATTTATATGGTATGCCTGATTTACAACTTCATTCTAAGTAAGTAAATCTCATAATAATACCTTGTTACGCTTTATATACATTATTTACACTATTTGTAATAACTGTATATATATACATAAGATGCATAACTTCAGAAATATCAAAAATCCAAGTCTTCCCTTTGAATGAATTCCTATTACATTAGACTTTGAAAATGATTAACAGTAAGCCGAAAAAACATACATTTCACATCTCCATAAGTTATACAAGTTGTTTCGAATTCCTAAATATATTATGACAGATTATTTAGGGGACAATATAGCACACATCTCCTGGGATCACCGGGTAAATAATAATGAGGTTAGACCCAGGGTATTAGGGAATGATGGCGTGTGTTATATCCTTATACACAATCCTTCTTTTATGCATTACTACCATTGAAGTAACTACTTCCATGAATTTAGTGTCCATCTTGTTGTGCTAATGAGGTGTGACAACTTGAACCGATGTATATATGTGCCTGGTCCTACGTTGTAGCTGACTGACTACAATGTAAATATACTAAATTTAAAGAATGAAAAAAGTGAAAAGATTATCAAAAAATTACTGATAATTTTTAGTGTAAGTTAACTAATACCTGATAATCATATTGATCACTGAGTAGCGAACAATGTCATATTTATCAAGTCTAATACTCTGATATTAAATAATAGGCTACGTGATATCATATCACTTAGACTAGTGGCTACCTTACGAGTTGATTAATAAAATTCGATCAACATTAAAAGACCAGAAAAATATGACACTAATCATACCTCAATGATTAATCAATGTAAAAATCTCAGTCCTACTGGGGGTCACTCACGGATCCAGTCTCTCAATGATAGCTTCCCAGACCGTGGAGCTGGGTCACACTAGTTTAAGTCCTATGTGGAGCATCAATCCCTTCAGTACTTTAGGTAAATGTTCCTGACGATTACTATCTAACATGAAGTCTAGATGTGAGATTTCCTGTCAACTAATTCCAACCCACTTAGTATCGATTTCTGATGTGTTTTATCCGTTGATAGAAAAGAAAAGTCGTTCACTTTTTATATGACACTATTATTTAATAGTATCTGTATGGGCAGAAAACTTATTGGTTAGGTTCTTCAACCCATTTCATTAGCACATTTAATAAATTATCTAAGTAAATTGGTTGAAATGGATGTTTAGTGGAGTAAAACTACATCCATTAACTAATGATAATTTCCCCAAGGAAAATATGCACTATTAAGCTAATGTAGCATGAATTAGTCTTCTAAATTACAATAATTCATTCTCAAGCACCAATAAATTACCTCTGACACATTCTAATTTATAGCCAATTTCAAATAGTTACAAGTATTTGACAGGGATTATTATCAAAAAATATAACCATCTAGAAGACAAAACCATAGTATTCAAATATCATCAAAGTTAAAGTTAATAAAAATAGCTTGTGTAGAATAACAAATATCTCATTTAACAATATTTACATGCTTTAAAAGTTAATTTAGATCAATTGATCTATTTATTATTAGGTTACTATGGAGCACATTACATGATTAGCTTGATTCATTCATCAGTATTGTGTCTGAACAAAGAATAACTAAGTAAAATATACCTTTAAAAACAATCAGTGTTTGTTCTAGTGAGAAGCAATGACCAGTGGAGTTCAACCGGGTCTGTTGTGAGATAGTAACTCACTGAATACAATGGTGGATGTATCGCCCGATTTCCTGCATTAGTTGAAGTTAGACATTAACACCGTTGGATGCCGGCCGGCTCAGTGGTCTAGAGGTCAAGCGTTCCCGCGCGAGATCGATAGGTACTGGGTTTGATTCTCGCGAGGCCAGATCGTGGATGCGCACTGCTAAGAAGCCCCATAATAGGGAGAAATGGTCATTCAGTGCTTTTAGGTTTTCCATGGTGATCTAGCTTCAATTGACTCATGATCTCAACTATCAAAAAATAAACTTCATTGAAATGATTTCAAATATTCATTAATATGATAACGTATTAAACTCCAAATAAATAAAACATTCTCCTTGTTTTCATTTAAAAAAAAGAAAATTCTGGCTTGGAGGTGGTATTACTTTTGGATGTGATGGATGGACAACAAATTCATCAACAAAATTTGGTCTTACATGGTCATTTGATCATAGAATAGGTCAAGTGAAAATCAACTATGCAAAATGTGATTCACTCAATTATTTAATGTGTTATAAACTTGTGAAATCTACATTAGCTTGATGCTTCAGCCTAATGATAATATTTATGATCATTATTTTATTAAACTATAAACACATCTACTAGAATTACTTAATTTAATCAACCAGTTAATTTTTCATGTAAAGTAAATGGAAGCTGAAATTGTCTTACTTTCAAGATTTTGAAACAAAAAATACAATCTACTTTATTGTAATTGAGTAGTATAAATTTAGAGATAAATTTTGATGCTGATGTTAAAGCGTACCATTGGATTACCGAATAAATGAATTTGTCGAAAACTTGAAATCGGTCACTAAATTACACTATTTTAAAAAAAATTGCAAACAAGAACAGCGAAAAGCATGAAAGAAGAAATGGAACTACGTAACAAACGTCATATGTAGAGTAAATGTAGACCGATTGCTGGTTAAGTGGAATTGAACAAGTGACCGATTTTTCAAAGTACTAGTTGAAAAAGACAATTTTATTGCAACCAAATTGAAATCGTGTATAAGTTTGTTTCACCATTACTCGACTAGCATAGTATTTCTCTGTTACTTAAACAATTCTGTTACTCTGTGGTTAAGGCTATTTTATACATTACCCCAATACTTCCAATATGCTGTGATCACGAAATGGTGACTAAAAATTGATAACTCAAGAAAAAATTTTGAAATGGTCTGTAACGATAACACTATAGAATATGAAATTATGAAAATAAATGCATCCTGACTATGAGTTAGACGTAAAAAAAACTCAGAATAAGTTGTATGGACAAATCCCACGAAAAAATGACTATATTAATAATTATCTTTTATCACAGGATGTAATCTGAGAGTTCATTGATCAAATATTGATTGTTTGTCGTAGTCCATAACTTTATTTAATTTTTGTGACGTGTTTCTAAGAGAATAATCTGAAGAGGATAAAGCGAAAATTTGCCATTAAATAATAAAATAAATCGTGTAAGCATCGGCCTAGAACAATCCTATACATTGAATAAAGACTGGCTACGCGGATACTAATCAGTTGGTCAGCCGCATATTATCCAAAGAGCCAATAGGAAGACAAAAAGACTGTAGCAGGAAACTCTATATCCGAATCCCAAAGTCAAGTCAAGATAGAAATTAAATGGTTTGGACCACAACACATAATATATGGGAAACTGAAATAGGACATTCAGCGCTGTAAATTGGGATACAAAGCTCATACTTAAGTTGCAATAATTATGGAATAGAAGATACGACAATAGTTTAGGGATTAGACGAAAATCTACGATTAAGGAAGTACGGAGGTCATATAAACTAAATGTTATTAATTACGGATCAGAAACTAAGCCTACTTATGTTCCATAAAGTAGCTTTCATTCTCTGTTTATTTTTTTTTCAAAAAAAAAACAGAATAAATCTCTTGCGTAAAATCGATTACAAAGATCTGTAAAAACAGATACAGAAATTTATAATCAGGATCGAGTATGGCTGAGGAAAACTTAATATTTGAGAGGGGGATCTAATGTAATTAGATAGATTGAACATTTATACTGTCTAATATAAATAGTCTAATACAAGCTGTCGTATTATTTATCCATTATCTAAGAAAGTAACTGTTCTAGGTTACCTTTCTAAAATTTTATACAAATACTTCTACTATGAATTAGAACTTTCCAATGAGTCAGAAAGAAACAAAATTTACGTTTACTAATTAAGTCTGATGGTTTTTACCTAAGTTACAGTAAACCAGAATTTACAAGACTACCAATTTGTAAATCACAACTCGAACAAAGTCCTTCTGTATAAAATAATCCTGCGTTGTCGAATGAATGAATAATTGAGAACAGACACGTATAGATTACTTGATAAGTGTATAAATTCTAAAACCAAAACGTGTTAATGTAACAAATGGCTTCTTATGACATTTGTATTCACAATGTTAGTTTAAGGGAGGGGTGTTGAATCAGATTATCTTTTGTCTCGATGATTAAATTACTACTGACGTCAATTCTGTGGCCCGATGTTGTGACGCGTAGACCTATAATCAAAAGCTGTTCAAGTTTCATTCGACTTCCCAGTAGATGAACAGATCTACGATGATAATTTCTGACCTTGATTTTCAGAGACATTTGTCCGATGCATATTACGTCAGCCTGGATATTTTGCAGATACAATAACTGGGAATCCTTCGAAACCACATCTTTTATAGGAACTAGGTTGCTTTGCAGTGTGTCTGATTCCCTAAAGTATACCATGGTGTTGAATTTGTTGGGTGCTCTTCTAATTTCTTCAGATGTGTATCGTTAGTGGATTGACGACCACTGTAGTAAATGATTTCAGAGTACTTTACTGGTAGTGTTTAATACCGTTCCCTATTTTTTGGACAAAACGTTTTAAGCAGTTATTTGTTTTAAGAATTTTTGTTATGTCCGTCAGTTTTCCTATCATTTCTTTCCATTTGTCATAAACATGTGCCCTTCTTGAAAAAGGGAAAACATCGACAGCTTTGCAGTGGTTTGGTAGGAGGACTCAAAGTACTAATATTAAATTGAATTTATTCGAATATCCGTCAAGATTAGAACGAATAGTTTGACAGGAATTGGACGCCGAGTATAGAGAAGACATTTTTATGTGAAAATTATATTTAAAATAATCTCAGCGATTGAAATTTAAATCATTCCAACATTTTGTCCAGCTAACTTGTCTAGAATTCTTCAGGGTAATAATCAAAATCATCAAAGAAATATATAGCTTTTAATAATCAAATCTACACTGTGTTAAACCAATCACATTTGGATGTTGATTTTTGTAAAATAGGATAACATGAGTCAGCTACATGGTAATCAGGTGAGAAGTCCACGACATAGAAATAAATAACTTAAAACGGATTGTATGTGTAAGATTAAGTTAATAATTACTGATATTCGGTGTTAATATGTTTTATATGAAGGGATAAATAAATAAAAGTGCAAGTTCAGGGCTGAAAAATTGTTCCTGAATCATCGATGTGCACGTCAATTGATACTTCAAACGCCTAGTCAATTACATAATATACAAGTGAAACAAGTTTTTGTTATATCCTAGTGAAGATTAATTTACGAGTAACGTCTGAGACCTATTAATGGACTAATATAATCTATATATTCTTATGGTATAAATATTCACTAACTAGATTATCTATATCTATATTCCTCTTATTATAAGATTCATTTTGACCTATACATTATTATTATACGATTTACTGTTCTTGTATTATGTTCAGTTCATTGATCACAGTCTCCCACGTTCACAGCCACTTTTTGACTTGATCTTGTATAAATGTTATTTCCTATTTCATGATGAGATGAGGTCTGTTTGGCTGATATATAAACGACGTATGTTTGGAATAAATGATTCGCATAGTTGAAGCTGTCATTGGTGTTCTAGACTCAACTGGATGAGTTGGGCTGGGCGAACAAAAGATCAATAAGGAAGTTAGGCTGCTCATACCGGTTGAACGTGTTTGGTTTAGCACAGTTCTGAGATTGAATAAGTCGTATTTCGATTGGTGTCCAAATCAAGTGATCATTAGCCGTGCTTAAAGCCACAACAGTTTTATTCTATTGTGCTGCAGTATCTATATGCATTAACGAAAAATATTCAATCGACTAGGATAACATGTCAGTTAATGATAATAATTTCAACACAACAGGTAGATTAAAACTTTGAACGATAAACTTATGCAGTCAACAACGAAACAGAAGTGTTACGGAATTGTTTTTTGAACACAGAGACTAAAGCTATTAGCTCGGATCCTCATAAATTTAATCATATCTCAGAGATGAGATCGAGTCCCATTAGTAAAACTTGGTAACATACCATAAACTACTCTAGATGCTTTACTCTAATTTATCGCATGGCCACTATCAACCAAATATTATAGAATGGAACTGAATTTGGATTTATTCTGACGCTTTTCTGAACACCGACGGAGAGGTTCATTAACTCGTTGACTAAATTGTCGTACTACTGACATACGCTCTATATAGCTTTCTCCAGAAGATCAGCTAAATTCATCAACACATAATGTTGTGGTAAAGTCAGTTAATGTACATTTGACATGAATTATGAAAGTCAATAATCTGTATTATCCTTTTAAAGTAGTGATAATCATATGCCGTCTGCAGTGATTAGACAACTGGTCAATAATTTTTCCGGTTGGTTAATCATACAATTTAACAAAAAGCTCGCTTCTACACGACAAGAACATATATTTGCTTCGATTATTTACCTAACGGGCTAAAGAACCGGGACTGATAACGTGTGCAAGAATTATATGCAACAGTAAATCAAGTTTTAATTCATTGGAGAGTGATATACAAAACTGATTTCCACCAATTACTATTGATGTCTGTTTATGATTAGCGAGTACATTTGTTACTTTATAAGATGAAAAAACCCCTTCCCCTGACTAGTGAATTTGTCATTCATGTCATTTAATTCAAAGTTTCTAGTCAATAACCTGGTCTCGTGAGTAACTACATCGTATAAATGCATTTCATTCATTGGTCAGTATTATATTTATTCATTTTAATAATTACAAACCTTGATGACTTATTAAATCATTTACTGTACAACAGGAATCAGTAGTAACATAACATTATCCATTACTAAATACAATCAACATCACTTATCCAAACAACTTTCATGAGTCGTTAGATTTCGGTTATTTCCAATTTTTTTTAAAAAACGACAAGACAAAATACTTGGTCAATTAGAATATTCATTCATTTCATTAAATTTAGATTTAATATCAGTTCATTAATATCAACAACAAAAAATAGGGATAGTAAACAATAACCATGATAGTGATTATTGAGACAACTATTCAAACTTAGGAAACAATTTAATGATTTCATCTATAGTGTACAATTCATTCACAATAATGAAGAGAATAATAATAATATTAGTAATTATACAAGTATTACTCTCAATCACTTGTTTGTTTGTTTGTTTGTTTGTTTAATTGGAGAATACACTTTTCATATTGACAAATACTTTCATTCTCATTTCATTTTATACAAAACTAGTAATAATAATAATAATAATAATAATAATAATAATATTATTATTATTATTATTATTATTATTATTATTATTATTAATCATGAATGATTGTAATTTAAAAAATCATTCCAAAATTGTTCTTCCATTTCATTTCAATGTATTAAAGAAATTAAAGAAAAAAAATTTTTTAATCAGAAACGATCAATATTGTGTTGGTGATTATTTTTTTTGTTACAAAAATTGTGTTACCTGTTATTATTTATTGATTTTAAACGATGTTGTTTTAAACAATTCGATGTACAAAAATTATAATCCATATAATTGAATGGAACTTTCCCACTGATATCACAACCGCATTGAAAACAACGACTATAAAAGCAAAGAAGAAATATACATATATATTAGTAGATGATTTTTATATGGATTGAAATGGGAGACATTGAATGATATAGATCAAAATTGATCTCAAACTCATAGGACTATTCACTAATCACCTTCTCTTAAATATTTTAGGTTTTAAAATAATCTCATCCTTTCTATTATGCGACTTCATTTATTCTTCTCGAATTACATTGCTTATATCTAATATTTTCTTTACTATCATTATTACTTAAACATTCGTCTATTTGTGTTGATGATAGAAAGAGGTAACGTGAATTGCTGCACATAAACACGGTGTTTATAACTGACTGATGTGGATATATGATACTTCTTAACGTTTACCAATAATGTCATGATGTAGTAATAGTAGTTCACAGTGCTAACAAGTGTTTTTTTCCTATCCGGTTTAAACAAAAAGCTTAACGATAAAGAAAAACACTGATGACTGGTGTAAAATATGTAAAGAACAATCATTTTGGAACTGTGAATAGAAAGGTTTTGTCATTACTATTTCAATTACCTAGATAACTATAACCAAACATTTTGAATTCTGAATTATATTCATTCAATTAATGAACAATGATTGGCATAAACGAAAAGCAACTAATGTAAATTAATTGATTTTTATCAAGAAATAAATGGATTGCACTATTTGTAAGTAAAAACAGGTTAGCATTGACGATTTCATTGAGAAATTAAAATAACTTCTTGTAGTTCAATGTTTAAAAGCTAACTTTCTAGTCTCCAGATATCAACACTACACACCGAATAAAAAACACTAATTGAAAGTATAGGGGATGCTTCACCTCGAAGGTTCGTTCATGTACATAAAAGCAGCGCATTCATAAAATTATATTTGACCCTGAATTTCTAAATGCATCTGGAAAACAAGATCGTCAATCACAAAAATAAAGATACCTCTTGAAAATTTCTAAACACTGACTAATAACAGTATCTTCAGCAGTTTCCTACACTGTGGAGAGATTTCCGAAGAATCATCGAGGTTATCTAACGAGTAAACTGTTACACTTAAATTCATAAAATAATGCCCAAATTTTAGTGAGTGATAACAAACAATCATATCTTACGATTATTGTTATTTATACACCGGAAAAGCGAATATTTCTTATCTAGTTATAAAAATTTCTCAATAATTTATTTAATTCCACATGATAATGACAATTCTCAAGTTTCCCTTTTGTAAATGCAGAAACAAATAAAATAAATGTAACGTATTAAAACTGAAATCTCATTAAATTTCCAAAGTCATTAACTTATTTTTTTCTAAATACATGTTCATGAAACTAAGAACTTGGAAAAACGATTTCTTGTCATACGGGCATATGATTTCCGAACAACAATTAATCTTCTCAGTATAGGGGATTTGTGGAGGATGCTGAGGTTTTCACAATTGCAATCACGAAGTGATCCTAGCTAGACTACCATTGAAAACTTGGAAGCACTGGGTGGTTGTTTCGCCCTCTTATAAGACATCTCATCTAAGCGCATCCATGACCACGCATCCAGGAATCGAACACAGGACCTTTGATTATTCATGAGAATGCTTAACCTCTAGACCATTAAACCGGCATCCAATGGTGCAGTGCCTACCTTAAATCTACCCATGATCTTGCGCAACCCTTCATCAGCAGGTTGAGATACATAAAGGTCTTACACTCGACAGCGGTCGATCTCCACTAATCAGGATCTATTTAAGATCAGTTCATGATTTCAACTGCGAAAAAATAGACCTTTTCCATCAAAACCCTCCAATAAGCACTACTACGAACATGTCTATTCATAGAGTTCAGTGACATAGAAAAATAAGTGATCTGAGCTTGATTTTCATCATGGACTGTGACATAAGTTGAAAGCACATTGTAAGCTAAAATATTGAACAGATGTTTCACCCTAACTTAAGACAGCAGTGTGGAACGATGATCTTGAACACGATTGACCGAATTTTCATACTATTTTTATACTACTGAATTAAAACCAGTAAGGAGATTATATATTATCTTTGCATATATTTATAGCTAAAATGTTTTAAAAGTTTTCCTTAAGGATTAAGACATCTTTTCCCAGTAAAAACTAATCCACTCTAATTTTAGTCACATTATTTTTGGTAGACCAGCTAAAAACAACCCTGTATCTAATATCGATGATTGAAACTTTCAACGTGCTCTTGATTGGAAAACAAACATGATTTAATCCTAACTAAGCCGAAATTGAACATATGCAAATAAATAAAAACATACACATAAACATATTTGACATTACCTGAATACCATGAATGGTTCACCAGTCGCAGAACCAGAAGAAATCAAACGACGTTCTGTCACGATAGCACGCTAATGTATGTTATTTTATTTTAAAACCCAAAGGAAAAAAACAAAGAGAAATGGATAGGAGACCTTAATTCATCACAGGTAAGAAAGATACATATATCGAACAGCAACCAGGTAAATAGAACTGTAATAGTAGGAATAAAAAATACTGTAGTCATGTGTTCAGTTTTTCCATTGTTGGCATTATGATTTGGATGTGATCAGTCTCTATTAACATATCTGCATCCAGAGCAAATGGCATCGATATCTTCAATTACAAGTTGTAGCAAAGTTTGACCGTGCCCGGTAGCGTGGTCAGTAAAGCAAATTTAGTACTATTTAGGACTCATCAACTGGATTCGGGTGCCTACGTGTTGGTGTTCACATTTTCACTCAAACCCAGTACCTATCACTGCAAACACGAAGTTATCCAGTAGATAGCGATAGATTTTCTGGAAAAACTATCGATACTACTCAACTATCTGAATAATAAATAAGTGTAACAAAGTTTTAGTTGTCATTCTACAACTGACTGAAAGCCAAACGCTCTAATCATTACATAACTGTTTCATATTATTGTTAAAGCTGGTAATGTGGATATGAAAATGCTGGGATTTCCATAACACAAGAAAGAAGACAAAAACTGATGACAAATGAGGAATTTATTCACCCTTCAGAAAAAACACGACGATGCTTTGGCTAAAATACATTTAATTATACACTAATCTTAGAGAGATGATTAGTCACCAATAACCGAAATATGGGAAATACAAAATTAGATGTCACAATGTTGCTAAAGTGAATGAGATTCACATCAAATAAATGTAAAATGATCCAATGCTAAACAAATACAACACCGAATTAGGACGTGATCTCATGACTATTATCTTTTTGAGAACTATTGATTTTATTGAAACGACTATTGAAAACCAGAAAGCATTGGATCGTTGTTTCATCCAGTATAGAACTATGCATACGTGTAACTATCCACGACCCGTCACTGGAGATCAAACCCAGGACTTTTAGGTATTATGAAGAGCACTTAGTCTTTAAATCACTAAGTTATCATCCGATAATTTACATTTCAAATTATTACTATTATTATCAAGTATAAACAATATTCACTTTTTCGCGATCGGATAAGGCTAAAAAACGTGCTTGTTCTTCAGCATCTTTCTTTTGTTGTTCAATAGCTGCACGTTCTGCAGTACGTTTTTCTTTTTGTCGTTGTTTTTGTCGTTTTGTGCGTTCACGATCACGTTCAAGTTTGGCAGCCTCTTTTGATGGATCCAATGGAGCAGGTATCTAAATATGGATTTAGAAAAGATATTTTTAAAACCTTTTTTTAAAAAAAAAAATTCAGATCTAACAAAACATCTGATGAACTTTTGTGCAGTGAAAAATACTGTGCAATATAGAAGCTAAATGAAAAACTGTCAACATCTTGTTCCCAAAAAATCTTAAAATTGATTTAAATATGTATTATGCGTGATCATAAAATAAATGTTTGGGAAGGATTGCCCAAGACAGAGTTCTATGGAGAATGCTGGTGGGCGGCCTATGCTCCTGCATAAGGGGTAACAAGCTTGGTTTATTTTAACGAATAATCGAAGGTGTTTGTGCAAAAAAAGTTATTCTAACACCCAATCTTAATTTACAACTCTGGTTCAAATCTTAATAGCTACAGCAATCCGGTTTTATTTTACTGAAGTAAATAATCTAACACATAAGGATTTCACTGATTGAAATCATGAGTCAATTGAAGCTAGACCACCATGGAAAACCTGGAAGCACTGGATGTCCGTTTTGTCCTGGTATGGGACTCCTCAGCAGTTCAACCAGGTCTGTTGTGAGATAGGAACTCACTGAAGACAATGGTGTACGGTGGCACAACTTCGTGGATTGGTTGAAGTTAGACATTAACACCGTTGGATGCCGGCTCAGTGGTCTAATGGTTAAGTGCTCGCGCGTGAAGCCAGTAGGTCCTGGGTTCGAATCCCGCGGGGTGCGGGATCGTAGATGCGTGCTGCTGAGGAGTCCCATACCAGGGCGAAACGGTCGTCCAGTGCTTCCAGGTTTTCCATGGTGGTCTAGCTTCAACTGACTCATGATTTCAACCAGTGAAATTTCTAAATAAATCTTCACAAAACCCATTCTGACATAAGGATTTATTAATCATGTCAAAACTGTGTCCACTGTAAATCCATTAATCGTAATTGTTAATTGTTTTATAACCAAACATTGTTTTCTGACTGACTGATAAGTCATTAAGGATCGTCAGGATAGTTTTATTTTACCAATATATTCAACATTAAGATATCTATGATATGAACAATTGATAATTAAAACAATTAACATATCTAATTGTTGGGTATGTTTGGATGACCAAAATGATGTTCACGTACTAAATAGTTTGTTAGTTTCACGTTAGTGAGAATTAGAATTTTCTGTTCTTTTAAGCCGGAATCCTCTATGATAGTTATTCTTAATTTCTACTTCAAAGAAAAAAACCCTTACTTCTTATAAATTCATTACACTCTTGATAGGCTAATTTTCTTCTACATCCAAGAATTTCGTAAATCTTTATAAATGAAATAAATAATTGTTGAAGTGAATTAATATTCTTAGGTCTATTTCAATAAATCTTCAGAATAAAATCTGTCTTTTCAATTACTCAGAGGTAGGAAGAAGACAAGGGGTATATCTGAGTAGAAGCTAACAGTTTTTCACCTAACTGACAAATTGATTAAGTTATCTGTCAGTCATAATCAATGTCATTAATGTAATATAATTATATATATATATATATATATATATATATATATATATATATATATATATATATATATATGCCTTAGGATAATCTAACTTATTAACCAAGTAAAGGTTTACGCACTAAATTTTGTGTTGCACGCTACATAGTAGAATCAGTGACACAACACAACTCCTTGAACCGAAGTAGGTGAGGCGGAGTTCGAACATGTGACCTACGCTCGGATCGAAGTTAGGTGCTACAAATACTAAGTCATTACACTTGACAGCCTTAAAATAAATACTGAATAAAACATTTTTAATTATGCAGTACAAAAAATTCGTAAGTTAATAATTAGTATAAACAACTCACTTTAGCTTTTTCATAATCATAACGATTCGGATGATGAAATCGGAAACGTCGAAACACATTAGCTATTGATTTTTTATGCAATCGTGTAGCTAATTGATAAGGTGTTATACCATCCCCATCACTAAAATGATAATAAGAAATAATAATTTATAAATAGGATTCGCTTAATTTGTCTGTTCAGATATTTCAAAACTGACGTTTTGAGTAAAATCACTGCTTTTGTTTTTTTTAAGTGTACAAGTTAAGGAAAGTAGAATCCAGACTAACAGTATGAGCAAGTATTAGAATATAATTAGTTGATTTCATTACTAATTCGTAAGTTATATTATCAATCTCAATTACAACACAGTATTGAAGGGTATATGTATATTATCAGTCAACAATTTATTAATAAGAGTAAACCTTTTCGGTAAAAGGTATATACTAGGGACAAGCAAACAGGAATCGAGAATCCGATGTTTAGGCTATTGCGCAAAATTCAAAAACTATGTACAGTGAGAAGTAAAAATACCTTCATAAACATAGAGTAAAAACGATAGCGCAAAATAAATAAAACCCTTAATTTAGCCTCTTAAGATGGTACATAACAAGCTAACCGGCACTATTCCTGAATTCAAACCATAAACCCTTAATAATGAAGAAACCTTAACCTAGTGGCACTAAATTTTAGGGACAAAGTAGTCAGACAGCGTCTATATTTCCCCAATACACCACGTCCATGTGATGGGTTTGTGAGCCTTCGAGAGTGGATTTCTAATTCAGAAAAGCCAATAGGGTTTTCCAAGTAGGGCTTCACCAACCTCGAATAGCTGGAACAGCGCAACACTCTTCCATTACAAACTATCCATTTATAAACGCTATTTTCTAATTGACCAGAAACTAGCTGGAAATTTGTCGAAATTCTTTTAAGCTCATCCGTATACTATATTTTTCATAACTTTTCACTTACAAATATCTAAATATTATTACATATAAGCATCATTGAACATATTAACGGCTGATGACTACAATTCTAAAGCATACCATTATTATCATTATGGAAAATAACATTTTATCACCATATAATTGAAGAGAAACTATGTCTACACTTATTGTCAGAGAAAAACTGTTGATAAAATTAGAAATTAGTAAGTTATGTTTTGCCATTGTGGTGACAATGAAGAAGACAATATTAGTCTCTTAACTGTAAAATCAAGATGAATTCAAGTTAACAGACAAGATAAACGTTTACTAGTAGAAAAATTCACTTTAAAACAACCTGAGAATGTTAATCAAATTTATATATCTAACTATTGACAGTGTTTTAACATTGATAGTAATAAATAGCGTTAAACACACACACACACACACGCAAAAAAAGAACCAGAATTCCATTCATGAATACAACTGCTAAACACCAACTAAAATCGATATAACGGCTTTCAATACATCGTTTATACCATTTCTATACTCGTAGTGATTTTATAACAATTCTAGAGAAGGCTGAGAAATTTAAAGTGAAGATAATATAGGTAGTATAATTAACATTCATAGAAAATTATTTTTAAAAACATAGTTTATAACCTCATTTACAAAAAAAAACGATGTAAACTACTATACAACATCAAATATCAAAGAATATAGTAATTAAGTTGTAAAATTTAATAAACAATTATATCATTAACAATGTTAACAAACATAATCAGAAGGTCAACCATGTTAAATGATGTTATACAACAGGTAACAAATAAACGTTTTAAGGTAGTTGGTAAGTAAATATTCACAAGCGCTGTTATACAAAAACACCGAACCCACACGTTATCCCAAGTGTCAACCAGTCACTTATGATCAATGCATAATTTCATATTAATATTGCATTACCCTCATACCAAATTGGTACAACAAAGTAAAATTAACAGGAACAAATGTAGAACAGTCAAAACAACACAATAACAATCATAATAACATTGAATAAATATTGAAAATATAGTTCGAGAACGTATCAAAACATATGCATTCGAATACTACTACTACTACTCAAGATCTAAAAGACAATAAAAAGTATACACATCACAGTCACCATGACAGATTCAAAGCAATGTCACACAACATCTCCAACCATCCATCATTATATCCCTGTGCACTACAAACACATAGTCTGCATTTACCAACATAACTCACACCAACAACCAATAATTACACGAACTGATACCATTGCATGGTTTGGCCTTCCATAGCTTACTTCAAACCATACCTTCCTCCACCCAACACCGCAGGTCAAGGGAGGTGAAGGTGGTGGTAAGGTATACGTCTCATGGTCTCAGTCTCAAACACCCCAGTCGATCAACATTCGCACTCGTATCAATAGATCTTTCGTGCTTAGCCCCCCTCCCCAGTATAATATCCCTAACCCTCATCGACGATCACTCAGCAGTTTTACGGTACACCGAACAATGATTTGAAGAAACCTGTGAATAAAACGCTCTAGTCTATGGATTCCGACGATTTTCGCAAAACATGTTTAGTAACAATAAAGCAATACAGAGTAGTGCCTATGCGATTTGATAGCCTTTTAAAAGGCAAATCGACATCTTGTTGGTTAAATTAACTTGCGCAAAAATAATCACTAATTAGTTTGAACAATTTTTACTATGAATACGGTTCTTTGTCAGCATATCGATTAAGGATAATGTAATAGCATAATTTCAAACAAACTTGATACCGTGAGATTTTAAAGCCTTGTGAAATGATTTCAGAAGTTTATTAAATACACCAAGAGATTTTTAATATATTACTATCTAACCCTGAATATTTGTGCAGACGGAGAAGTATACCGGCTGTAAAAATAAATCTTGAGTAAATCCCCGTTAACATACCACTACCCTCTTCGAAACACTATCACAGAGAAAGAATGTGGGCCATTAGTAACTGGTTGCACAATATCATTGAAGAATCGAATAAATAAAATAAAAATAACAAAACAGATTTTAAAAAGTTTCTAAATTATAGTTATGACCTTAAAGCAGCATATTATAGATGAAGTGAAAAATAATTCAAAATATATAACAAAAGGTACTATTGATAGAGATTAATTAGAGAATACATCTGTAACAATCAATTTACTGTTTAGGTGAGACAATCTATAACCTATAACAACAAATGTATTTGCAATACTTCAAAACATCATCAAATTATAGATACCTAACAATCATTCCCTAAACCTGACGTACTATCCTGGCTAGTGTAACAGTGGTATAGAGAAAACTAGCCAAACTGACACATAGAAATATATTTTTGACAGTTAACTTGAACTATGTGTAGAAGTGTAGGCTTCCAGGTTGAAATTAACAAAATAATCGTGATCAACAGTTCGAAAATATAAAATTACACATAGCGGAATCGATGTATTTATTCTTCAACTTTCCTTTTAATTTTGAATATTATTTCATAATTTTTACTTATCAATTTCGTTCCTTCACTAATTTTCGCAATGTGCAGTTTTAAATTTTACTATCATAAGTTGATCGAATTCGTTATTCGCCTGACAAGTGGATATGATGTTGATGTCACAAAATCTTTCGAGACAATTAATACATAAAGGAATTTGAATGTATCACACTGGATTGAAACGGTTGTTATAAAAATATTTAAATCAAATTTTCGCATCCAAAAAGACACGGTTATCAATCTTGCATTGTCAAAGGGACAGAGTTTTAATGAGCTTGTTATATAGGGAGTTTTTTCACGATCATTATTATAATTTCTTTATTTCTTCCTGCTTACTTGAGGTTTACTCAGCTAGTTGTCTTTTTTTTAAGTACAACATAAATCACGAAATTATCCTTTGATTTCTAGGAATTCTGTCTTCATACTCTTCTCGATATTCTATTCGTATTATTTAACCTATGAATAGAAAACCATTTGAATGATTTTTATTCATTCCACCCAAAATTATTGTTGTTCATCAATCAATATTGAGATGTTAAACCGAATCTTTGGTTACAACTTTTCAAAAAGAAGTTTTACGTACTTATTGTTTTTTTTCTAGATCTATAGATTGTAGGCAGATGAAAAGAAATCATGAAATAAATGAACTCGTGTATTATCCAGCTACGATTGTTGGTTCTTACTTTATTTAAACTAATACAAATTATTTGACAAATATAATTGCTTATGTACTCGATTTTGAGACAACATTTAACTGTGAGTAACACTATATGGTTCTGACACATATATGTGTATCTACGAATTCAGCTGCTCCTGTGGAGAAAGCTATATTGAGCGCACTATCAGACAACTGAGACAAGTTAGTGATTACTTCACTTCGTGGTTAAGAAAGGGTTACGTCAAGACAATACGCAGCTCGATTCTACCACATTTGATCGATAGCGGTCATGTAGCAAATTGAAATATGTCATTTAAAGTGAATTATCTAGCTTTTCTTATGGGGTTCGATTTCGTCTCTTAAATATAGCAGAATCCATAGGAATTCGAGCTAACAATCCAAGTCTTTGGGTTCATAAGGAATTTGTAACACTTTTATTTCTTATTATTTTCCATACTTTTTCTTCGTTTATTTTTGTTCACCCCCTCCCACCTATTTTTATCCAAACACACGCTTCATTGTCCAATTGTCTGAACATGTCTTATTACATAAACTTACAGTTTTTATGAATGTCATCTCAGCATGTATGGGAATTATTCCCACTATGAAACATGGATATGTCTTGATTATTCTTATCACAAATATTACACCTGTCATCACACCATTGATTCGTACTTTTTACTTATTCTGTTTATCTATGTAGTCTACTGTTATCACTGAATTATGAACTGCCTTGATTGGTTTAGTAATTTTGTATATGCATATAAATATTACTGTATATTAAAGCCTGATGGGGATCTAATCAAAAACAATATTGCTCGCTTATATATGTTGTTCTAATTCAAAATATGGGTATTTTTTTTGTAAATTATTCGATTACTGACCAAAATGAACTATTTGAAATAGAATTTTAAACCAGCAAGCTGGAACTCTACGATGTGTATGCAAGAAATCATCATTATAGCATTGAGTTTAGAACAAAGAAAAAGTTTCAACAAATCAACAAACTAACAAAATGATTACACAGAAATATAAATCAATACATCTTATGTATGTGTAACTTAAAATAATATTCTACACTGACCTAAATGCTGGATCACATCCACATTCAAGTAATAAACGAATTAGTTCAGGATCACTTTGAAATTCTACAGCTACATGTAAAAGTCTTCGTCCATCAGTTAATGGATGATTAATTAATTTTAAACAAACACGATATGGTGGTACAGTTGATGATCCAGGTGAAGTACACTCTATTGCATAAATAACAATACGAAAATATCTAATATATCTCAAAAGCAAATAAACACTTAATATCAGTAAGTCATTTTAAAAATAAATAAACGTGTTTTTGTGTGTATGGGTGTGTTAATGTCTGTTTTTCGCTCTATTTACCTAACAGATGGAATGTTACTTCTTATATACGAACAAAAAATAAATAAATGATAACTGCTAGGAATGTTATATATACTGAACGGGCTGGATTAGGAGAGAAACTACTATACGTAGGACCGATAAGGACTCAGAGTTGACTCAAGGCTGATCGTGCTGGTTGACGCACCATTGGTTTAGCAAGGTAACAGAAGTCGGTATCCTGATTGGCGATTTTGTCACATGATATTTGACTCGATATTTTATTTCATAAAATTATAATTTAAACCCCATTGTAAAGAGAATACAATGTACTAATCATACATTCTAAAACATAAACATATAAATTTCTATTTCTTGCTAGTTATTCGAAATAATAGAATATCGCTTTTGTAGTGTTATAAATAAGATAAACTCTTAGATGAAATATAAGCAATAATATTCCTACAAAAACAGCAGAAAACAAAAGTTGAACAAGTTGATCTATCTAAAGTACTGGTATAACATGAATCAGAAGAGAATTCATTGTTAACGGAAACTAGATACCATCCAAACTGGAACTTATAAGTTAACACCGTCGCCACCGTTATAACCTGTTCATTGTTATACAACTCAGAAATACCAACGTGACGGTGATTGCAAAACAAAGGCTCGTCGACACAACGCCAAACTCTTGATACATTTCTCAACGATTAAGAAGCAGTGATTATTAATTACATTAAAACAATTACTACTTGAAACGAACTTCACACCGTCAAAACTAAATGAATAATTATTAGAATACGGTAGGATAACACCGAAATGGTTCATAGCTTAATTTGTCGAAATACAAACGAATATTAAACTGAACGTTCACCATGTTAAACTAATCAATAATCTTACTCTTCATCGCTTCTTATCACTTCTTATGTTAGAGATTGACAGCAGTTAGAGTACTATTGAAAAGCAAGGAGCATTGAACAGCTGGTTCATCTTGATGCATGAGAATCCTCAGCAATGAGTATACATGACTCTACCAGGGATCGGAGTTTCAAGTCACATAAATAAATCGATACTGACACTTTGTGATCATAGAGTAATAATGAAATCCTAATCAACGCCACTTTTTAAATGCCCTACCATCGGTTGAATATTTATTCTATGTGCCAACTTTCTTCCCTACCTCCAAAGATATTGTAGATACATTTGTATACTGAATAGCTTCTTGCCAATTTCAGCATTATTTGGTCGCTGTCAATAAATATTCCCTGAGAGTCCTGCCTTTTCTGATTAACCGTGATTAGAAAAAAACAGAATTGTGATATCAAGTGTATCCAAATCAGAGCTGAGAGTCCACAATACTGGGGACAAATAATATCATCTACACACTGATAAATTTAAAAAACCTGAAAATGTTAAGTAGTCATCTTAAAATTGTACACCAACCAGTAGGGGATGTATTAGTAGTGGTCAGCATATTAGCCGTAGTAGCAGTAGTAGTGGTAGTGGTATTCAAAGGAGCAGTTGAATTATGAACTGTTTCCTCCAATTCATTTAAATTATCGCTTTGAGTTATATTGGAAATATCCATTGGTAATAAAGATCGTAAAATAACCAAATCTCCAGAAGCAATTGCTACACGTAAACGTCTATGCCAACTTTGATAGGTGAAATATAAATCTGTGTAATATTTTTAATTATAGTAAAAAAGAAAATCTCATTAGCAATTTATTACACAAAACAAGAAAAGAGTGGGGAAAAGACTCAAACTAAGCTTTCATATTATGTTAAAATGAAATAATACACGAATAATAATTGAGGCGTGCACCATTGCGTGAATAGTGACTACTGGATATTACTCATAACAAAAGTGTTATTTTGCAAATATCCAATGAATTTTTAAACTCTATCTACATTAGATTCAAGTAATTATCAATACATTAGATAACTAGAGAGGTTATAAATTCAATCTTCTCACATTACCCAACTGTGAGGATTTCGTTTGTAGTGAACTATTGTGACTCTTATTATACATTTGAACTACAAACTCTATCAAATAAACAATTGCATCGTGAAGTGATATGGTACACTGTTGTGTGACCTTTACATGTTTCATTGTAACGATATTTGTTATATTGTATATCCCCATATGTGTGCGGTTATTTGCATATCTAGTATTTTTTTTATCCATCCTCTTATTTGCTGTAGACGCAGTCGGTTAATAATTTGCTACTTACGTTCACATTTATAGTGATATTCAAAACAAAATCAATTCATTCATATTCCTTTCCTGTGTCTGGTTTGATTGCTAAGGTGTGATCTGTTGAGTTAATTTGCTCCTAATACAAATTGACTTCCATCTAACGCGTATTCGATTGCTTGATTGCTCGAACAGAAATGAATTCAACCGTACTCGAAGAATTAACCAGTGGAATATATACGAATATGTAAGATCGATTATACTTAAAGTCGGAAACAAGTATTCCAACACAATTTATGCCTACCACTTTAAGCAATAACACAAATGATTACCAACAATCAGTCAGTCAGTCAGCTACAACGTAGGACCAGGCTGCGTATTCTAAGTCGATAAGTGGCCCTCCTGGTAGGAGATCAATACCCGAGAACTCAGTCGACGAGAAAGTTATTTCCATCAGTAGATCTATGATGAAGTTAAACAAAAATGGAGAAAGTGGACAGCCTTGACGGACACCACTTGAGGTTGCAAAAGTAGATGACAGTTCGTCATAAGCTCTGACTCGACTAGTAGTGTTCGAGTAAAGAGCCTTTACAAGGTTTATGTACTTCTGGGGTACGCCTTTCAATGACAGACGATTACCAACAATACTCGGATATCTTAACCCCTGCTGGTTTGCGTAAATTATATTCCCAAAGCGCAATTAGAAAACGAAGGTGGTCAACCAATTCAGCTTCTATTATTGTATCGTGCCATGATTCAGAAGCGCACAGGTTAATATGCATCAATTATACGGCAACAACGCACCACTTTTTTTAATTAACTCATTCACCAGATACCTAGTAAGAGCCACACTCTAAATGTGAGGGCTAACGATACTACTCGGTTGATCAGACCAAAGTAGATATATGACTAGGTGGTCCTACATGATACAAAGCCGAATAATAGATACATAATGAATTAACAATAATACAAAAACAGTTTATGAATGAAATGGAAGCTTACAATATGAGTGTTATAAAATATCATAACCGAATATCTAATAAATACACAGTAAAAATATGCAGAACTATTCCTCTTCAAGGATTACTGAGGATCCCGAGTTCGAGCAAAGGGGAAGGGTTGGATTATGGTTAATAACCCTAACTCGTAAAAGAGAACCGCAATACAAAAACGCTAACCAGATAAAGCCAATTTAACAAGCAAAAATCTGCTCTGGGAGTTGAAGGGTCTTCACATACAAGAGTTATGACGCTTTTCAGGAGAGCTGCGAACCTCTGGAAACCACGTGTTCAGAACCCCCTCTTACAAACCAAGGCAACAATAAATATAGGGAAATGAAATGTCCGGATGTGAGGAACCAGGAAATTCACTCGAATATCGATAGAAACGAGAAGATACAACGAAGCTCTACTTGGAATAAATGAAACTCGTTAAACACCATCTGGACAGAAAAAAACTAACTTCAGGAAAAATGTCGTATTCAAGTTACGAAGAAGAAAGTGCTTCATACACAGGGATTCGCACTGATTCTGCCCGGAGAAGTACAAAAAGTGCCTATAGGATGGGGAATCCAGTGCTCCGCGATTGTCATAATATCCTTCAAAAGAAAGAAGGGAAAGGTTACAATGAATGTTATTCATTGCTATACACCCACCGACGATGATAGTGAAGATGATGAAGACGACACACTGGATTTTAATGATCCTTCAGTCGATACCGAACCAAATAAAACAATTTGCTTCAGTGAGAAAATATTACGCATATAATCTCAAAGTATAAAGACGCGTTACGTAAACAGTCGAAACAAACCTTCGAAATTATCAGTCACTGCTTTGACATCATTACTTTCAGAATCGTTGGAAGTCGAAAGCAATGAAGATTGACTGTTTGGTTTCGTCTTTCTGACAGTTTCTGTGGTTTTCCTAATATTATTTTCTGAGTTCATAATCTGCTCCACTCGATCATCATTGCTATCATCATCAGTATCGTCTTGTGAACTGACACAATCTGACAAATCAGAATTATCTGAACTTGATGACAATAAATTCTTTTTAGGACTAGTTTCCAGTAGGCTAAGTGGACCTAAAAAATAAAGCGATGAAAATAGGAGAAATAAGGCTATAATTAAAGAACTAAACATAAGTCATACACAAGAAATAATTATCTTTTCTGAATGATATTCATGACCCATCTAATAAAAACAAGATGTTTATTTGACAATATTGGTGTTGTCCGCCATGAAATTTTAACGAAGAGTAAATAGTTGACACCGCCTTTTATGTGGAGGTTCCTAAAGGTTTATGAGTTAGCAGGTGATGTTAATGGATGCTTGCAACATCACAACAATGTTTTGACCAGTAAATTGATCACTATGATAGATTCCACTCCTATCTTCCCCAGAACTACCCACTACCGAGATATTTTGTCCCACTGAAGTTCAAAATAGTCATACGGAGGTGTTACAGAGACGATGTGGAGATCTTATATATAGGATCTGTCAGTCGCTCGTCTATGTATAGTGTTTTCGAGATCGCCAATGAAATAGTCAAGTAGGACTGGGAAAAGTCTATCACAACAAAATGGGAGTAAACAGAAAACTCCGCGTCCAATTTAAATCTTATAATGAGTTATATAAACAAACTGGCAGCGTAGTGATAAGGTCACCCACTTGGTCCACTCCTATTTGACTATTTCATTGGCGATCTCGAAAACACTATACATAGACCAGCGACTGACAGATCCTACATATAAAAGAGATAGATTATACATTCATCATTTGTGACAAAATACCAACTTCAACAACATCCTGACATCAATCGATTAAGTTCAAGATGGAATCTCAGTTGGATTCAGAATCTTACTTCTTAGATAACATTTTTCAAAAGGAGAGCTAATGATTGTCTAAAAAGCTCGATATACAGAAAGCCAACCTGGAATGTCCAGTATGCGAACTTTCAAAGCTTGTTCCCACTGAAGCATAAATGAAACCCGATTCACTCTCTATGGACGAAGCTTATCACTTAAGAGTTTTCATATTATTCAACACCGTGTTATTCTATTATAGACTGGTACTGTTAGCAGACAAATTAACTATAAGTACGATTGTAAAGCTTATGTAGATGAAACCGTCGAAAAAAATTCTTCCTTCGCAAAAAATCGTATTCATCCTTTTTCAACGACATAATGAGCCTCTTTCGTTAAATTGAGAGTTTACCAAATGAGGATGGGAGTGATGCAACTTTACAGTTTATAAAATCAAGTTTTTATGATCTGTTTGGCTTTTTATTGGATAAACTAGTAATTATTTACAAATTCGACTGTCGATTTTTAAGTAGCAAGGTAAAAACTTCAGTTAAATAATAAGTTTGAAAATTTATAAATCGGCAGGTAATAAGTGAATTCTACTGTCAAAAGAAATTAAGATCACAAAAATAACCCCCAATTTGGTTTTCAGTTGGCTTAAGCTATACTAGTTTGATGAAATCCCTGACTAATATGATAATATCCATTTCATTCAATCTTGGAGCAAAACCAACGACCTGTTTTGAAATTCCGTACTGCTGTCAGATGTGTAGACAGAGACTACCCGTAGACGTAAAAACAAAAAACGATCCGTCATGTGATAATGTACTTTATACATATCTTCTTTTACACCATTAGGTATAGCTGTGTGAGAAAAACAGTAAGTTTTCCCAAAAATAAATCTAAATGTCGTCTCCCACAATATTTTTTTAGTCAAATACCTAACAAACCAGAACCGACCATATAATTGAAATAAAGAGTTTGTAGATTGCTCAATATAAAGTTAATTTTCAACACAATCGACATTAACTAAAAACCGTGTTTCGACATCATTCGGAGATCGAAGTAAGAGTTTTATGTCATTGAGTACGATACATTTAAACTACTGGGAAATTTTGAACCGGGACAAAAGGTATCCAGTAGTTCTGTTTTTCAACCCCGCTTTAGATAGTGTCAGTTCATGGTGAAAATTAAAATTATTTGATAGTTACTTTAGTAATATAAGAATCAGAAACATTCATAGGACTGAACGGAAAAACATGAGAGCAAGTACGCTCATGAGCTGGGTCCAAACAGAAAAGAAAAATAACGCATTTTTATCAGTAAAAAAATTGATTCCTTTTTCGTATTTTTAGGTGTTCTCATGTGATTTAAATAAATCCCTTTTTAAGTATAACATGTGTTTTGTATGTGATTTTATTTCCATTTGGTAAATTAACTAGTTTGAGTGACGACAATCATTCCAAAAGACATAAACGGAAATTTTTGATCTAGTTTAAGGCTTTTTTGCCACGTACTTCAGCTTTTATTAGGTTAAAATTGGTTTCGTTATTGGAGTGATATCCACTGGAAAACTATTAAAAAAACAGAAGTACTGAGAGGCTGTCTCATCCTGACCCAATGTCACACCATCATTGTTCGTGCACGACCACATTCACACACACATGAGATCGAACTCATGACCTTCAGGTCTCGCCGAGACCGCATCGCCTTCAAACTACTAAATTGGAGTCACTTGGTCTTATTACAATTTTTGCAATATTAGAGTCGAAATTAAAGATCAGTAGATGGAATATTTCTTTAATATGAAGACGAATCTAATGAAACTAGATATACTAAATGACTAATATACAACGAAGACAGTCGTACATGCATAAGGAAAGAGAGAATACAGGACCTTCAAGAAAAGACAATTATATGAATGAACATCACAGTATATATAGCATTTTACGAGGCAAAGTGACCAATAAGAATAGATGTGAATTACGTAGTATTTCTACATTACAAGGGTTATAATGTTACTGAGATGTGAAAAGGATGAAACAATATTGTTGTGGCGATTCCAACTGATTACAATAATATCAGTTTCAGTGAAGCCCAATAGATCTATATTTTAAAACTCAACAAGCTTGTGATTACGACATACATTATCCAGTACTAATGGTGGGTAAAGATGAGTCACTATCGGTATGGTTGGGTTTTATCAGTTACAACTTCTTATAAGAAATTCAAGAACTCATTAGAAAATCAATCACTAGTGAGCAACAAAAAATAAACGTTTGGTTGAAAATTTTGTTGAGATTAGCTTAATATGAGATCATTTTTCATCGTGAATTATAGTTCAGCTTGGAAAAAGCAATAAAATTATTTTAATGAAGCAGAAATTTAGAACTATTAGACAGTGTTCATATATGTCGACGAAATGATGATAACGTAATCGATGATGAACAGTTCGGTGAGACTATAATTAATACATGAACTTCAAGAAACCCCAGAGTGACCTGGAGAAAATTCGCGTACTTACTAGGGTCGAAAGAGGTTTACAAATCAGTGTGAGAAATTAAAATTAAGATTTAGAGTTGGAAGTTAAAGTTAGGGATAAGGGATAAAAGTTTTTATCACGAACTGGCATCAGATATAATGCTGAATTGCTATTTAATCATATGGATGAATGAATTTGGCGCCGACAACCAGGACTAACTGCCTTTAATCTCATTGATTCGTCCATGAATTATAGTCTCGCCAACAGTCCAACCTTCAGATTTTCATTACAGTTGTACATTTAAACAGAGAATTAGAAAATGAAACAGATGAATTCCAGATGATGTCAATTTATCTCTAGTTGATTAAAACATAACACGCCTCGATATATTATTGTTCTTTCTTAACCTAATTGAATAAATGTATGAATTATTTATAATTTTGTGATCGACTCAAGCATTTTCTAATATCACACGATTGTTTCTAATTATATAAATAAACGTTAGTTTACGAAAATGAACAATGCTTCAAAATCCTGGCTAATATAGTTTGAAATTAACCACAATATTACAAAGATACGCATTAATTCAGAATAACTCTTCTTCGAAATCACAAACCACTTCGTATGATTATCACCATTATTATTATTATTATTATTATTATTATTATTATTATTATTAATCCAGTAATCGTCGGTAATAGTATAAAAATAAGCTGCAACTTAAGTTATAAGGAACAATTAGTATAACTGATAAAAATCTACTCATTAGTAATATCTACAGAAAGAAAATGCTTACCGTAAATTAATCGACCACTTTTAGTTTCTAACAAAGTTTCATCACCGCTTTCAGATAATTTGCGCCATTGATTTCGACCTGATTTACTGAGAAACTCCAGATTAGCATCAGGATCTGTTCAAAAAGTGCAGTAAAAGAACAAGATAATGATGGTGAGAACAGGGAACAAGTAAAAAGTCGTATTTTATTCTTTATTACTTACGCTACAGATAAAAAGTTTATTTCGATGAGTAGAAACAAAGAATGTGACACGGTTACGTAACTGGGGCCTGAAGCCAAACTATTAATGATAACAAATAGCTAGCTGTCCGAGAAGAAATAGGTAGATGGGGGTTTGAATATGTGACCTATTGATTAAAAGTCTAATGGTCTAATCATTAAATCAATTACTCAGTATAGATCTTCTTAAAACTTAATCGTTCAATATTCATTCTTTTTATGACTAACAAATAATTATCCACAGTTAATTCACAACAAACTGACTCCAAAACACCAAGCACTAGTAAAAATATTCTTTAGAGACACTAATCGATACTGATAAACCGGATAAAATAAGTCTAAAATATGCAATCCAGTGGGTTGAACCCAGCAAGTGACACCTTGACAGTAGTAGGCAAAATATGTTTAATGTGTCCGATGGAATTATAGTTATAATTCAGCAGAAGAATTCAGTTATGATAATGAAGTTATCTTGATAATAAACAATCCTTATCGACGCTTGTCTTTTTGCCTACATATCCGTTAAAAACAATTACAATTCCACAAAGTCATCTATACTACATCATACACTCAGACAACAATTGATTAACATACTCCTACTTATTAAAACAATATTGGACAATTTACTGGATGAAAATAAGACAGAGCAGAATTATTACATTTATTATTGACGTAGACAATAAATAGTTGTTATAACTTTATAACTTATCAGATAATTCTTTGATATTTGAATCAACGAGTATCCTATCTGACCATATTATCCAAACGCAAACACTACAATATGTGAATGTTCAGCTAAACAGTCGTAAAATGAATGAGATGAACGAGCTGAATGGCATCATATACTATCACCAAATAAAGTTATGGTCTTATTATAATAGAAACCGAACAAAAAACCTAATGTGTCAACAGTGGTTGATCAATCCAATTTAATAAGTTGATCATGTAAAATACTAAACTCAAATAAAATAAAGTTATCGGGGATAAAACAAATTGTTTCGTGTATCTTACCATAAACATCAAAAGTTGACAATTCTTTGTGTAATTCTTTTACGTGTAAATATGTGATATGTTTACTACGACAAGGTATTCTGCGTAATCTTGGATCATCTATTGTCATTCCAAGTCGACAGTCACAAGCTTTTGAAGCTAATGAATCTGGGACAAGAGGTGAGGAAATTCGATAACTGGAATTAATCGAAGAATAGTCAGTTGATTCATTCAAATTATCACCGGTAAATTTATGATTAGATGGCACAGATGAGGATGATACAGGTGGATTAAAAAATATACTTCGATGTACTTTGGGAGACCACAAAAATATCAGCTGGCAAGATTGTAATAGAACACGCCATTTGTTATGTAAAAGATCACTTATTTCCTAAAAAAAAATTTAGAAGAAAATCTTAGAAAGGAACTAATAACCAGGAGAAATGAAAAAAGCATCCAATGATTCACTGACACACGATAACTTAGTAGTATAAAGGTGATACGTTCACAGCTGGATCTGAGGATTTCAGATTCGGCCTTAATTGGAGTCAAAGATGCGTACCTCAGATGAGTCCCTCACTAGAACATAAAAGCTTTTCAGTAATCCCTTGTTTTGAACGGCTGTCTCTAGCTAAAGTCAATCTATGATTTAAGCTATCTTAAAATGGATTGAATCGAACAAAGCAGCTATTCAGTAGCAATGCTCATTTACGATCCCACACGGGATCGAACCCAAAACCTTAAGGTGTCATAGTGAGTACAAATTCTTCAATCAGTTTAAATCAATTCGCAACATGGTGCAGTCATCTACCGTTACCGGTAGCGGGTAACTGCTTCACATCCGATATGGTTGAACCCCACTGGTCACGGTTTCTCACTGGAACTGAGATTATATGTCTCACTAATTTATCATGATTTGAATTTTTTATGCAACTCAACAATCAAGTACAGGCTAATGTAATTAGCTTTAAGTCACACATAGTGTAAGGGAAAGTGACGCTACATGTAGTCACCTGAACTGAGTCAGATGCATCTACAACTCATGGGTTTAAATCCAAGTCTTCTAACCAATAGGCGATTGCGTCTTGTTATTATCATATGATTTCAATGCTGATTTTCTCGCTTCAGTCAATATACCTGACTGACCAAGTAAAAAGACCAAAGCACTCAACATAAACTTCTTCAGATACAAGCCAGTTCTTTGCTATCTTCCTTTACTTTGTAAGCGGTAACAACAGATTATTGTATGCTATCTCAATAACTTGACAAGTTCGTAATCGTGTAATTATATCGAAATCATCATAATCACTAGGAAATGGGTATGTGAAACAGTGACGCAATAATAATTATTAACGATAATTACATTACGAATAGTTGCTTCACCATGACGTCGAAGATTAGCACCAGCTGATTTCACTCCGCCAAGACCACCACATTGTGAATCATAAGATGATTGACCACCACCTTGTTTAGCGCGTACTGTATAGTTGCGCAAAGTTTTATGAACAATCTCGTTTGTTCTTTGAAAGTGAAAAAATATAATGACAAACATATTCGGAATAGTACTGATTGGTGAAAATTAATTGATTTACTTTTACTCTATAACATTAATTTGGGTTCAAGAAAACTTTAAGCCTGCATGCAATGATAAAAACTTAAAACGCGTGAAGTTTCATGGGCATTCCGATTACCAATTCACTGACTAGATGATCATATAAATTTCCGAAAATCGTCTGTATACACAGTTTTAGCAGAACACTTGAGGCTATAATCTAAAATTGTTTCATAATTGATGGCACCAATAAAAAAGCTATAAGAACAGGATCATGGTTGTGTATGATACTGAGTTGAAGTCACAGAGCAACAATTTTTCTAAATACATGGAACGTCCTGGCAATGTAGGATACTGAGAGGACCAATCAAATAGCTACAAAATGAGGAAATACAACTTGGTGATTCTCAGAATAAGTGAAACTCATTGAATCCAAGTTGGACAGAAAATATTAGATTCGAGAGATTCTATTCTACTCTGGTCTTGAGGAAGAAAATGCTCCGCACACTCAGAGAGTTGCACTAATGCTGTCCAAAGGAGCATAAAAAACACTCATAGGATGGAAATCTAATGGATCTGGGACCATCAAAACGTCCTTCAAAACGGAGAATGTTACTAAATATTATGCACCCATCAATGATAGCAATGACGACGATAATGATCAGTTTTACGTGAAGCTGCAATCGATCATAGCGAATCTGTTGCAGAAACAATGTGAACCCTTTTCAAAGATAGGTACAACTATCGACTAATTTCATGATGTTAGAACACTCTCTAATTGCAAAACCTTTGTAAACAACTCAGTCAGTTCCCTAACCAGAAAGTCGCTACTATCTTTAAAAAGAGCCAGAAGTAAGTCATCTGGACCTGGTGATTTGTGGCGCTTCAGGAGTTGGAGTTCCTTGCGGTCACCCGGGGTAGACCGACGTGCTTCAATGAAGTGTAAAAAGCCTGGAGAAATTCGATGCTTATAAGCGGGACGTTTTACGAAGCCACAAGCGACTTCACTCACTATTTCCGTGGCGTCATGCAATTGCAGCCAATGTTTATCCATACTTTTCGGTGGGCTGATAGCTAGCTGATGATCGCATTCTAGATAACACAGATACTATCTTCAATACATAGCCCGTTATACAATCAACGAACCTTCGTAGAAAACGCACGGTGAAGTACAAACGTCAAGGTTTTTATTTAAACTGTGGCAGATGTATTTGTACATAAAAGCAATTGCTTCGTACATAATTGGGAACTTAATTACTATGCATTGCCTCCACATCCCCCTACGGCGTCCTCCTTTCTTCATGCGCCTGTTTATTTGCAGCTAATAGTACGTTTTAGACAGATCACGGAATTTATGATATACACAACATTGAGTACTGCTGCTCACTCCAATTACCTATAAAATATAGTAACTGGTGCGCATACTACTAGCATTGTAAGGAAACTGGATAATGGAACTATGATGCAATTTTTTATAAACGACATATAAAACTGTAGAAGATAAATATAACTGCAGCTTTTTAAAGTTCTCCCAAATTCTGTTTAAAAAACCAACCTCAAGGTAACTTACCCATCAAAAATGCCACCAGCGAATTTACCTCCAGAATAAAGAAGAATAGCCCATTTCCGACTTTGTCGAACACGCGAAACAGATCCCAGCAACTCATCCATTGTTAAAGGCATAGTCTGAATGCAATGAGAAACAACACCAAGCTAAAATACTGTGAACTGCTTCAGTTATCTAAGATCAAGTGCTAAACCTGCTCCACAGATTTATTGATAAAGGAAGTTGCATTCAGTCATACTGTAACTAATAAAATTGAAAGGTATATTACTAAAGATAAGTGTCGGACGTGTAGTAGCGATTTGTCATTATCTAGATTTGGTTCTTAATGAAATGGACAGCGTACTCCATTTCGATATTGTAGTAACTTGCCCTTTCGCTTAGGCCCGTTAGTAACACTTGTGTCTAAATGTACGTAGGTGCCTATTTAAAATTATTAAGACTATCGCAAATCTCATTTATACGCATTTACACTACGAGAAACGCGAGAGAATAAAGTATATTGTTATGAAAAATGCAATTTTATCCTAATTTTGATTACTGGCACGATTGGTTCAATTGCCCCTAAATGCCCTGGTACGGCCGAGGGTGGACAGAGTCAGCTCTATCTCTCGAAATGTTCTCACATGGCCATGAGTATACAGCCACTGACAGGGAAGTCCCACTCACTGCCTTCTTGCGACAAGGGTGTTTTTTTAGGAAATTGAGAACGAAAAACGAATGTCCGGAGCTTTGACCGAGTTGGTGGATATGGAGGATCTACCTAGGACAGTTGGAAAATCCTGATTTCAAACCAATGGTGTACATGGGCTCCAGGACTTTGAAAGAACAAATGGTGTATGATCCTACTGCTGGTTACCGGCTACCACAAGACTGCATCTCCTAAAGTTGTTCCACTGGCTTGTGGATTAGACCTTCAGTTCAAAGGCTCGGGGTATGACTCCTTAAGGAAACCACCTGCTTTGGTTTGAGCGACCAAGCAGTATTCTAGCCCTCACAAAAATCGAATGACAAAGTGTGACGCATATTTGGTGCTTCCTTGTAATAACGTTTATGTGTTTAAATAAATAAATTGGCTTTGTGGCTGTAATATCAACTTCCGAATCGCTGCACAATTACGTATTCCAAATGTGTCTAAGTATATATATACCATACCGAATAAAGTTAACATCATTATTATTCTGAAAACTGTTTACCTTCCTAGTAAATAGAACACAACGATTTATTCCAACTATTTCTGAATTATAATTTCGGAAAAATAACATCTGCTTATGTGACGATGCAGTAAGTGACGAATTAGTAACTGTTTTAGATGATGTACCATGATCACAGTCATTGTTGTCAATATTTGGTTCTATAGTTGCTGACAGTGAATTAATTGGACTCATTCCAACTTGATCGATGGTATTTATTTCCGAAACATTTTCTATTTTCTCTTGTCTTAAAGTTTCGAATAGATCAAAATTTAGTGGACAATAACCACGTAAGGATCGATTTATATTGCAGATATGCCATTCACTTTTGAAGTGTTCCCGCTGGAGTGAAAAAATAATCGTTAGCATAGAACATTTTTGGTGAAAGATACCATATCTACTGCATTATCCATCTTCAACTGACATATATTACAATGAAACTTCTGAAGGGAAGAAATGTAATTTTTCGTTGGAGGATTTGTTGTTTTCGCATCTGTTACGTGTCAATATGATTGTATCAATTTACCTGTATTTTCAGAACAATGGTTGCTAAACGTCTCTCCAACTAAAACAAGACCAGTTAACTTTTCGACGGCTATTTTTTGGTCGAAAAACTGGTAACGATCGCACGTACGTTTGCATTGACGACTGATAAGACCAACATTTGACGACATCACGATGTATGCCAGACAAATTCTCTGGAATACGGATAGAAAAAAGACTAATCATTACAGCTAAAGAGTCTATTTAATTTCATCCGTGAAAAATAACATCCCTTGCTGTTGGTCGCTAATTAAGAAGCTGACTTATAAATCTCTTTAGATACACCGGTTCACATTATTTAGGTAAGACATTTGGATATGATCCTACAAAATAATCAACCAGTCATTGGCTATATACAATTCACCTGTTTGGTTTGTACGATGCTGAAATCGCCAGCACCAAAAAGTGAGAAATTTAAATAAATATCCTTAACTTATTATTCTATTAAATAATTAAAATTTGCCGTAAAAAACAGTTTGGTCTATATTTCTATGTGTGAGGAAAGCGCCCTAAAGTAAACCTATAATTTTCCCACAAGAGGAAACATACTGTCTCCGAGTAACAGAACAATAATACGGCCAATTTTATTTCATGAAAGTCGAAGATGAAGCCACAAATGAAGGTAGACAAGACTCAAATTTTAGATATAACGAGTGACAGAAACATCCCTTAATACTACTCAAGACATTTAAGACAACTGAGAAAAATATTGCTTGCCACCAAAGTAAAAATAATGAACGTGCAATATAGTTTGTAGATCGGATATAATCGTCGAACCGAAACCAACTGAACTGTGATTCTGAGTCTTTAATGCCGAAATAAACACTGACCTGGTATCACTCTGTTTCACGGACAAACTAGTAGGATAGCTCCTCTTGCTTTTAACTCTACATTTACGCATCCGTTTGACTACAGAGCAACTTCGTATTGCAGTTAATCAAAAATACTTAACCCTATGCCCTTGACTTTTGTTCTAATTACTCGGCATCAGATAAGGATAATACAAGAACTGTCGAAAATCTTTTCGAGTACATTTAAGGTTAGAAAAATTATAGTCTCACCTCTATATATCCATACAGACGAGTTATCGCCGTTTATAGGCAGATTAACTTGTTGGATTTTGTTACATTTGTCAAAAACATGAAATCTGCCCACTCTAATATCATTACTCCCTTTTATACAAATTATCTACTACAAAAGGCTGGTTAGGAGCTATGGCTCTTTCAGATATATCTGAATATTTGTTCCGGTTGTTTTGTTTATCTCTATACTAGACTCGTTCGGCTCCCAGTCATAAATTTTGTGATTTTCAACTTTCGTTTTGGATTTGAAATAAAAATTGCATAAAGCATTCCAATAAGCATAGCGAATATCAACTGACCTTCACCCCAGTGCAAAGTAACGCAAGATTTTGATAGTAGAACCATGAGATGTTCACTAAACAATGTGTCCAATCCTATTCGATTGGATTGAACAGGTAGCTATCTGAACTCAGTACTTGATTGGATAAAGAGGTGAAGTTTGAGGCAAACAGTACTGGGTTCAAGTCTTGAAGTTCATATCATCTCTGAGATGCAGATATATCCAGCTGATGAATTCCGAGAAAAAACCAGCATCCTGCATTCCATTACTAGTCAAGTCCCATATGCTCCACCTCATTGTTTTCACTCTTTAGTACATCTGTGACGAGTTTGGAAAGCCAATAAATTTCTTTGTTCTGGATTCCAGCGCGAAATTCAAACTAGGAGTTTAGTCCCAACGTGATTTGTATTTTTCAAACTTTTGCTGTGTTATTGCGCAACAACAGTACCAATTCTGATCTAAAGAATCTATTCTGAGCTATACGTTCGGTAGATTACTTCTTTTGGAGTTTCACCCAATTTAATAGTTAACTGTTTTCGTCTCAGCTTACTATTTGGGGTTTTTTCAGCTTTTGACGTAAAGGCCGGTTCAGTTTATCACATCCGTTCTTATCCATTTTTGCCCGTTTTTAGTGTGCTTTTCAGTGCATCTTTTTAACTGTCTTGGGCTTATGCTAGCATCTATAATACAGTTTACGTCAATATAGTCATGAAAAATTCATACAAACGACTTGGATAACGTTTTGCTGTTACATCTGGCAAGCAGTGCGATAACTGCAAAGGTTGGTTCCATGAAACGTGCATAGATCTCACAGCAACTGCTTATAACGGACTCAGCAAGTCGGATCATAAGTGGGTATGTGTTACGTGCAACACGGATGCTGTAGTTTCGCTAAGTAACATCATTGTCCTATTGACAGGTCTGCAGAATAAGTTGTCAGTAAACTTGGAAAAAGACGGTCATAAGGTGGATAGACAAACAAGGACGCGCAATGAAAAGAAGAATAGCGACGTCGACAGGTCTACTATTGATGGAGCATGCATCACCACCAGTGATGACATGATGAAACTCAGCACCATCATTACGTTGATGGTAGCAGACTACTTCAGCAACCTTGGGTCTCCCAGCTCTCAGCCCTTGAATGCGACAGTGGTTCTCAAGAACTCTGTAGGTGATTGGACCCACGTTAACAGAGCTAAAAAGGACTAGGCGTCACAGCCTAAGCTGAACATCTGAAGTATTGTAAGGAAATCAGCTGGTGATTTGACCGCACAGTCTACTCCTAAGAATGTCTGGCCATCAAGGGGCCTAGGAATCAGAAAGTTGCTTCGAACTCCAAACAACAAGGTGCTGAACCTGAACGCACCGGAAAACCTAGGAAAACAATGACGGTTCGTGATGACTCTCTCATAATCGTGAACCTCAACGACAAAAATGACAGGATGCTCTAGGGAGGATTAAACAAGGAGCTTGAACTTTCCCGAATATAGCCATTGACGGTCGCACGGCTCACTCAGGGAAAGTAAACTAAGCATCAAAATCACCCGAGGTTACTTTGTGTTACACTCACTAACGCTACCGACATACAGGATGTCCTGCTAGCTAGTCATTTACTGAAATCTTATGGGAACGTAAGAATACTGCCCGACATACCGTATCCTGAGCGCGATCTCATCCGGAACATCCCTAAAGATTCTCGCGAGAAGTTTTCCCGCGGAAGAAATATAATTGTGCAAGATGTACCGGAAAACACGGACCCTAGTCAAGCAAACTCTGATATTAGGAAATGAAAATTCATCAAGAAGTCCTTGGAGCTTAAAAACATAATGAATCAGCATGTGACGAGACTAACCAAGAAGGAAGGTGATTCTATACCCCGGCTAATGAGGATAACTTTCCCATCCCCCCATATGGTGGCTACCACTCTGGGAGTATTTCGTGCCAACAGACGTTGGTTGCCTACTGGAATCCATATGCACTCGGATAGGCGACATGACGCCAGAATCAAGCACAGAGGCAAGTTGGAGCTGACCATTCCACTTGTGGACTGTATGGTCATTAGGAAGATGTGTAAAGGACAGGGCTTGCCAACTCGGCAAACCTTATATAGGTAGGCTGCCTGTCCATTCAAGTAAGGCCCATACAGACAAACAGAAAAAAGCCCATGAGTTTCAAATTAAAAGCATAAACTGCTTATACATGAACGCCACGAGTCTTTCAAGTAAAATGGATGAGCTACGTGAAGTTAGCAATTCTAATAAGGCTCATCTGATAGGAATAACTGAAACTTGGATATCTTCTCAGTTCTCGGACCAGGAGTTAGCAATACCTAGGATGTCTTAGTTTTGCAACGACAAAAAAGCAGTGATTGAGGGTGGATCGACATTTTAAGGTCAGGGTTAACTTCACTTTATCTCAGGATACGGAATGTCCTAGTGGGGTCCCCCAGGGCTCAGTACTAGGACCACTTCTCTTCTTGATTTATATGAATGATCTTACACAACAGGTATCGTCAGACTTATTGCTTTTTGCTGATGACGTGAAACTTTAGAGAGAGATACGCAACCAAGAGGATATACAAGCACTTCAGGAGGATCGGACTCGACTTCAAAGTTGGGCAGACGATAACGGACTTACCTTTAACACTCCAAAGTGCAAAGTAGTTCATCTGTGAGATGTTGCAGACTACAGTTACAACTTAAGAAACTCATCTATAGTAGTGTCCCGAGTCGAAAAAGATTTAGGAGTCCTGGTACCCTACAAATTGAAGTCTTACGCTAACTGTGACGGAAATGCCTTTCGAGCAAACCTTGTACTGATGACATTAAAGCGCATTCTTGACCAGTTCGACGGAAGAACTTTCCACATAATCTTCAACAGTTTTACTCGTTTCCAATTAGAGTACGGAAACATAATATTTCCCCCCTCACTCCAAAAGGATAAGGACACTCTGGAGCGTATCCAACTGCGAGCCATGAAATCTGTTCGGGGACTCAAATTCGAACCTTATGAAGAGCGCCTCTAACCACTTAACCTTTACCCATTAGAGTATGGACGTCTTAAAGGTGACCTTCTAATGGATTACAGTATCCTTAACACTTCTGGACATCCCCTTCAACACCTACTTAAGTTTACCTTCAACACAAACATAAGGGGTTACACCCAGAAATTGTATATACAACATAGCAGAACGGACTGTAGACACAACTTCTACTCTTTAGGAGTTGTCAAATGCCGGAATTCGCTGTCGACTGAACTAGTCCAAGAGACTTCCCAGGAGTCCTTTAAGAGGAAACTTGACCCATTCTTAAGGACTAAGGACAACATCTTATTATGATTTACCAATTTCTTTTTTCTCCTCTCTCATCGTTAATATACCTAGGTTCCTGCCTGGAGGCTTCGGTGATCCGTTGCTACTAGACAGGGAAGCCCGTTAAACGAAAGCTTTTTCTATTACGTCCACAACCATTTGAACCATTTGAGCTTATAATTCCTTCCGTACAGTTCCAGGCAATCGGCAATATACAACAAGAGTAATCGACTGCACACGTTCTAGTCAGCCCACTGTTTTTTGTGGGATTACGTTCATCGTAATCTGGACACCTGAGAGAGGGTCATTTTCACCTCGCCTGGAAGAGGAGTTCAAATAGAGCCGACTCTCAATGGGAAAAAGTGAAAGAGACATTAGATTTCTGTCATTTGGTGAGTAAACTTTCAGAAATTCCCCCTCAGAGCTATGTGATGAGGCTTTAGTAGGAAGATTTTTCAG